TTTAGAAAGGCATACACACACACACACACACACACACACACACACACACACACTATATACATGCCTTTAGAAGGGCATATATACACACACACACACACACACACACACACACACATATAGTGTATATGTATGTATGTGTGTGTATATATATATATATATATATATACATATATATGTACATACATTATATATGCCTTTCTAAAGTTTTTTAAAAAATTAACAATAAGACAATTAAAAAAATTCCCTCAGACATGCCTGAAGAAACATGGCCATATTTAAAGGAAAAAAAGTAGCATAATTTGTGCATTACACATGACCAAATTAATAAAACTCTTCCATTAGCCACACCATCCTACAAGCCTGGAACTTTGTGAAATTAAATTGTGACAGCTTAGTGAGACCTTAGAAAATAAATCCACACAGGGAAGAGATATATCTCTTCTTGTGGATTTATTTTCTAAGGTATCATTTCTAGAGATGTATCTTCTAGTCGATAAGTTAGAAAATGTATCTTCTAGTCTATAAGTCAGAAGATACATCTCTTCCCTGTGTATTTATTTTCTAAGATATCATTTCTAGAGATGTATCTTCTAGTCGATAAGTTAGAAAACACCCCTGACTGGGCCTAGGACAGCACTGTGTCATCAATACCGGAATATTTCCACAGTAAGATGTGTAAATGTATACCTCGTAAGAAAAGGACTAGAAATAGCCTCATATTAGTGCAGGTCATTTAAGTCATCTGAATCAGATCATTTGTATTGTAAAATGAGTTTCAAACACTTGTTTTCTCAACTCTTTATATTTTTGCAATTGTGGATCACGGACCAGTATAACCTCAAGCTATATACAATTCTAGCTCTGACAGGTGCCAATGCTGTTAAAAGGAGGAATTCCGAAAGAGTCTGGGAAGAATACATGGTCCATACATTCCATTGTTGCTAGAGATTGGGACATCATGAAGGTAATTAGTATGGCACTCTAAACACTCTTCTTGGAGTTGTGTTTTAGAATTCTGTTCTTTTTCGTTAGGAGATACAGGAAACATTCTTTTAAAGCCCATCAATGCATCTCATATAAGGATGTATTTAATCATCCTATTACATTCTTTGTGAAGGTGTGTTTTCTTTTCATGATAATGAGAATTATTAATTGACTGTGTTTCCATTTTCATTTTGATGAGGAAGAAGCACAGAACCAAATTCCTTTACTCTGGAATTTATATAAAATCCAGTAACCTACTTATTTGTGTATAATGTTTCCAGCCAGTCTCTAATTCCAATTTAAGATTTCCCTATCCCAGCATTTTATGTTCAGTTTTTAGTTTACTGTCATTCTGCTTGTTTCCTACAAGCCACCTCACATCCCGTGAATTAAGGCAGGGAAGAAAGTAATAAGCAGGTGACTGACAATCTGGAGGCGGTGAAACAGGTAGGTATGTAGTTACCAGTTAAATGATATACTCAGTTATCCATCATTATCTTTTAAGGGCCAGAGCTCAAGCTTGGGTCTACTGAAGATTTTCCCTTGTTGAGTGAAATATAATAGAGGGTATGAATAATCTCCCCATCTCTCCCTTCATAAAATGCACATTCTGGAATAAATTTTAAAAGTAGTGTTTATTGAGCACGAGTCATGCACAGCTGTTATACTGGATTTTATATACAAATGATCACTTACTACTGCATTCACTCTATAAGGTAAATATAGTCCTACATTCTAAGAGAGTGAATAGCTTGCCCGTGGTCACACAGTGAGTAAGTACACAGCCGACAGGTATTTGGACTGAAGTTTGCCTGTATCCAAACATGAGAAAGATGAAAGGAACCTAACAGAAACCTGACTAGACTCCATGTTTCAACTGTGGCTTGCATTTTGCGGCAGGAGATCTGCATGAACCTTTGCAGACTACACCTGATGTAGTGAATCCTCTTGCATTATTCTAGTTGGATTCCAGGAAGGTTTCAAGGAGGGTCGGGGTATGGTTGGGTAGACATCTGTAGAATTTTTTTGTTTATTCTTGCCATTGGATAGTGTGCTTTTATTACTGTGTTTATTTGGCAGGGGCTTTGACTTAACATCCTATCATTATGGGAGCATCCGGGCAGAAGGAATCACATTTATATCTAGATTTCCTTTAAAAGAAAACGATTTGCTTGCTAATTTGGTGGCAACTTCTGCTGGACATTTTAGACTTCAAACTTTTCTCTAGTCAGTAAAGCCTTCTTCAACTGCTCACTATAACTAAAAGGTTGAATTCCTGAAACGGATCAGTTGATGACTGACTTTATGCAAGGATGCACTTATGATTCCTTTTAATTCAGAGTATACAAAATGAAATTCTATTGACAAAAACACATCTGGTTTCCAACTAACATTCTCAGAACATCCTTCGTAAGTGTAATGTCTCTGTTCTGCCTCCGTCCCTTTGCCTATAGAACATGACTAAGATGGAATTGGGGGGCTGTTGGAGGAATTCATCTCTTCCTTGAGTGGATTTATTTTCTAAGGTATCATTAAGGTGTCACAATTTAATTTCACAAAATTCCACGCCTGTAGGATGGATGTGGCTAATGGAAGAGTTTTATTTTATTAATTTGGTAATGTATAATGCATGAATTATGTTACTTTTCTTCCTTTAAGTACGGTCATGTTTCTTTGAGCACGTCTGAAGGAATTTTTTTAATTTTTTGGAGATGGAGTCTCCCTCTGTTGCCCAGGCTGGAGTGTAGTGGCACAATCTCAGTTCACTGCAACCTCCGCCTCCCTGGTTCAAGTAAGTGATTCTTCTGCCTCACTCTCCCGAGTAGCTGAGACTACAGGTGCATGCCACTATGCCCGGCTAATTTTTTATTTTTAGTAGAGATGAGGTTTCACAATATTGGCCAGGTTGGTTTCGAACTCCTGACCTCATGATCCACTTGCCTTAGCCTCCCAAAATGTTGGGATTACCGGTGTGAGCCACTGCGCCCAGCCTTTTTTTTTTTTTTTTTTTTTTAATTTTTAAAACTCTTTGTATAGAGACACAGTCTTCCTATGTTGCCCAGGCTGGTCTTGAACTCCTGGCCTCAAGCAATCCTCCACTTTGGCTTCCCAAAGTGCTGCGATTATAGGCAGGAGCTACCATGCCCGGCCTTGTCTGAGGGAATTGGATTCTTATGATAATGGCTGTACTCTGTGAGTGTCTATTCCACATGCAGGTCCTATCCTGAGAAGGCTGCTCTTCTGGCCCTTCACCTGCGTGGTATACAGAGGTATCTTTTCAACTCCAGGTCATAACCTAGAATGAAACCAATTTGGTAGTTGGTTCAATCGGCTACATTCTCAATAGTCGTGTGCAATTACTATGAAGTCTTGGTGGTATGTAGCAAGTCTTTATTTCTTGATTATATGCCTGACTTGGCTGGGATTTCACCGATCTAGGCGGGGCTCTTCTGGGCTTGGCTTCAAGCTGCAGGTTGCGTCTAGGCTGCCCTGTTTGTCCTTCATCCTATCCTTAAGCCAACAGACTATGTTCTTCTCAAGAGAGAACGGCAACCATGCAAGCATACTTTCAAAACTTGTATTAAGTAAGCTAACAACCCATAGGACAAGCAAAATCCCAAAGTCAAGGGGAAGTACATTCCACCTGCCATGACAAGGCATCTGCTATGGCGGGATGATGGAAAGCAGCACTTCAATACTCAGCATTTTTGAAAGAGGAGAAAAATCAGTGTGTAGTATTAAAAGGGTAAGTATTGTCTCATAAAACTTTTGTTTCAGTTATATTTTAATCTGGATTATTTCAGGGGTCTCCTACCTGGACTCCCTTTTTTTTGCTCTGGCTTCCCCATAGTCAACACAGCTTCCAGAGGGATCCCCCATTTTTTTTTCTTTTGAGACAGTCTCACTCTCTTGCCCAGGCTGGAGTGTAGTGGTGTGATCACGGCTCCCTGCAGCCTCGACTTGCCTGGCTCAAGCCATCCTCCCACCTTGCCTCCCGAGTAGCTGAAGCAACAGGTGTGCTCCATCACACTTAGCTAATTTTTTGTATTTTTAGTAAAGACGGGGCTTCACCATATTGCCCAGGCTGTCTTGAGCTCCTGGGCTCAAGTGATCTGCCCTCTTCAGCCTCCCAAAATGCTGGGATTACAGACATAAGCCACTGCACCCAGTGTAGGGATGCCTATTAAAATGAACCCAGATCACATTATTTTCCTTCTCAAAACCCTCTAGTGGCTCCCCACGCAGGTCCCTTTGCTGGGTATGCTCCTACCTTAGGGCCTTTATACTTGCTGTCCCCACTGACTGGAATTTTCTTCACACAGTATCTCTATACTCACTTCCTCTTTAGTCAGTGAGTGAGGACTTCCTTGACTTCTCAATATAAAATTGCAACTGCCACCAAACCAGACACTCCTGCTACACCTTCTTGCTTTAACCAGTATGTTGAAACACCACATGACAATATCGACATATTTATCTTGTTTGTATGTTTTTTTTCACTGGAGAGAGTAGCTCCAGGAAGATAGGTTCTTTTGGCTGCTTTTTTTACTGCTATATTCTCAGGGCCTGACACACAGAAGAAACTCAAGTATTTGTTGGTTGAATGCACAAGCTAATAGAGGTTCATTTTTCTCATGGAACAAGAATATGGAAGCAGGTGGGCCCCAGCAGGTTCAGAGGCTCGTCATGCCTTTAGAGAGCCAGGCTCTTTCCATCTTTCCCCTCTGCCAACCTCAGTATGTTGGGATGTCTCTTCTTATGGTCTCAAGATGGCTGAAGTTGCTCAAACCCTGTCTTGTCCTTCCTCCACAACTTATCACAGGAAGAAAGGGTGAAGCTCTCCAAATGTGTCTCTTACTGATCAGCAGGAAAGTCTTTCCTAGAAGTTTCAGCAGTCTTCCCAAAACTGGTCATAGCTGGGTTAGACCATCCGCAAACCAGCATTTGGCAAACAGAAATGAGATTCCCCGGACAGGAACAGCTGGGTATGTCATGTTTTTCTCCTGGGGCTAACACAGGGCCGCGTCAGAGCTGGACAAAATCAGAGTTACGTTGTTTTTTTAAAAAAAAAAGGAGTGGGGAAGGATCAACGACAGCAGGTTTCCACACAAGATGGCCATGGGTTCTGGAGGATGTTAACAGCTCCCCTTGGACCATGACTCAGAGGTATCCCTATCTTTTGCACCCCAAAAATTAGAGGACCAGGGTTGCACTGTGATTCTTGTGAGACGAAGGTAACCCTGCAGCAACCTGTCTGTCCCAGGTCTTAGTCACTTCACCGTCCACCTCCCCATCCCCATCTCTCTCTCTGCCTGCCCAACATGCTCCGAGAGTGTGAGCACAGGCAGCCTCTGCTTCACTGCCCCATTCTGTTCCACGAGAGAAGGACAGCACCCTCTGCGTGGCCCACTGCCTCAAGACCCAAGAAAGAGTCTCACTACTTTTGAATCAAAGGTTTTATCTTTAAGAAAGCAGATTTAGTGAATCAGAATTTTCTTCCATTTTGGTTCTATTATTTTTTTAAGAAATGTGAACAAAATTAAAAATTAGAAACTTTATTTTTGAATAGATAATACATGTACATGGTACAAAATTCAAAAGGTACAAAAGGTGTACATTGAAAAGTCATTCCCACCCCTTTTCCCAGAGGCAACCAGGCTGCCGGGTTGCTGGGTATCCTCCCAGAGATATCCTAGACTTATGTAGGCAGATACATGATATACACATGTATATATCTGTGTGAAAACATATGCACACACACACATCTACACATTTTTCTGCACTCCAAACATTAGGATACCATGAGCTTCTTTTTTCCCCATTTAATCATGCGTCTTAGGGATCATTCTATGGTAGTACATAAACACAGGATCCATTCTTTTAAACTTCTGCAAACTATTCCATTGTTTAAGCTGGCCATAATGTATTTAACCACTCCCCTATATTGGTGGCACTCTCCAACTTTTTGCTATTACAAATAATGTTTCAACAAAAACCCTTGTACCTAGGAACAATTCTTAGGAGTAGCACTGCTGGTTCAAAAAGCTTAAGCTTTTGCACTTTTGATGGACACTGTCCAGCTGTCCCCCATGGAGCGCCTATACGTCACACTCCTGCCAACACTGTATCCAGTGCTGCCACCCACAGCCATGCACTGTGGTCTCACTTCTTGGTTCATATGGCTGAGACACTTCTACCCATCAAGTTACCTTGAGATTCATGACACGTTTTGAGCCAAAACATACCTTATCTCTGACATTAGTGTAGTCGTTCCCTCTCTCTCTTTTTCCCTTCTTGGGGAATAAAAAACAATCGTAAAAGGTAATTCCTTTGAAAGATTAGAAACCTCTGATACCTTGTTTCATCCCAAACTTCAAGGTTCTGGTATAACAAACATACTCTAAGAGACCCTCTAAAGTTGTGAAAACTATTTTACCTGTTCTCAAACTATGCATAAAGGAAAGTTTAAATTTTGCTAATACAGAGATGCAAAGCTGCAATTTGGAAAAGCCGTTTTATCCAACCGGAATTTCCCATTCAGTCATCTACCCTGAGCCAGATGCTAGGGAGACTGTGGTAGGACAGGAAAGGCCCTTACTTTTGTTGCCCAGGGCCAATGGCCATGGGCAGGCATGAGTTTGGCACATTTGGGGAACGGATGTAAGACTGGCGTGGAACATCCACAGTATTCCCTGTGTGGTCAAGTATGTGGCAGATCAGGCACCAAATCCCCCAGGATTTTTGCACAGTTACTGTGAGAAGAGGGAACACTATTATAGCATTGCCTTTTACAAAGCATCTTCAGCCCGTCATAGAAGGAATGCTCTGGACTTCATGAAAAGGATCAAGAGAGGGTGTGGGGGATTCTGAAGATGCATGGAACAAGGCACTTTCCTTGGCAATCCCAACCATGGGGACAGATGATGGTACCCCTTCCTATGGGGCTCTTTGTTGTACTGTTCTGCATTAAGATGTTCTTTTACCTTGAGGCCAACACTGGCCATGAGTAAATCATAAAGTGCTTCCATAAAGTGTTCTTTCTTAATGTGTGTTTCAACCCAACATTCTGCACTTCAGAACAAGGGGTGACAGTCAAAGTAACTGTGCTACTGCTAGATGCCTACCTCCCTTTTAGAGTGATCATCAGTCACCTAAAAAGTGGGCAAAAAAGACCATCTGAGGCAGGAGAAATGTGAGGGCACAGGTTATGACCAGGGCTCACTGTCTGGAGTGCCCTTTCAGGCAGGTCTGCTTTGGTCACTAGAGACGTGACTGGGGACTGACAACATCAATGTCACAACCCTGAGGTCTGAGGTCCCGGGCGTGGCACTTTGTGAGGTAGTAAAAGGACTGTCTGAAGGCCTTCCCCAGCCTTTACTCAAGGCTTCAGGAGGTCCCAAGCACTCAGTGATGTCAGAGAACGCTCCCCCAGCTGACAGACTCAGCGGACACTGGCAGGACCCAGCTATCTTCAAAGTATGTATGGGCTACGAGCCAGAACCATTAAAACCATGAACTCCAGACTCTAACAGAGACATGCCTGACAAACTGGAATTTGTCCTCTGTTAAAACACCCCTTAGTGTGACTGGCGACTGTTTTAACACTCTGTACCTCCCTCTGGTGGTGTAGGTAACCCCAGTCATCCAACAGAGATGGAACACAGGTCAAAGACATCAAAAAATGTCCCAGTGTCTCCCAACACACCTCTTGATCACCCAATCTTGTCCTGCTCACAACAGCTATGCTTGCGCCTCAAAGCAGAGCAGTCCCGTGTACTCCATGAGAAGCACGTGGTGGGAGGGAGCCCCTGACCCAGAGGCTGGCAGAGATTCCACGGCACTGGGCAGGCTGCCCGCTAGCAACTCCCTGTGCTGACTGAGCAGGGAGCCTGTCCCTTCCTGGGGAAACCTGGTTCCTCCTGAAGTGCACATTTTAAAAAAGTAACTTAAGGATGTTCTCGCTTCCTTTTAACTCTGGAGAAGCCTGTGGGCTTAGAGCACAATGCCACGTTATATCTAGGCACACAGAGAGCCGCAGCCCTGGGAGGCCCCCTTCTGGCTGTCTGGGTGGCTTCTGAAATGATCAGCGTCCTTGGGGCTTCCCCTTAGCCTGTGTGGCCTCACTGTAAAGTCATATAACATCCTAATTACTCAGAAAGGCACTGTCCACACTGGGAGTTGTCTGCAGCAAGTGTGAATTTCTCAAACTGACTTTTGTAGTCTAAAGTGTATTTGGGCAACAGAAACTGATTTATCTGTAGTAGGCCTTGTGGGAAAAAAAAAAAAAAAAAAAAAGGAATAGAGATCTATGGAGACCTCTGTACACCAAAACCAAATCAAATGAAACACCTGTGAAATACAGCTCAAAATAAATGCCTGCACTTTCAAAAAGAATTACTGGTTGCTTTGGATTAATCATGCCACAGTTTCCCCATCAGCACAGAGGTGGACTCCAGTAACCACAGAATGTCATCTGCCTCCCTACCACCTGTGGACAAATATTCAAATAACTGCCCTAACTGCTTATAAAGTTCAGTTAGCCAGGGGTGGGCCTGTAAGATTCCTAACAAGATAACACAGATGTTTCCCTGATTGAAATGAGTTCAAACACAAACTTGTCTCCTTCCCCTGCCCTCAAAGTGCCACCTGTTCTTTTGCAATTACTTGCTTCAACTTCACTGAGCCCTTCAAAACCCCCACATGACCATAGCTCAGGGACCAGCTGAGGCGGAGCTGCACATGGCCCAGGAAGCACCCATACGTGGCAGTTTCGATTTGGAAGCTACTGCTTCTGCCTGGCTCAGGCAGGCCGTGCTGGCCCTGGCACTGAAACCAACGGCTGTTTTTAATCGAACACGTGTGTGTGTTTTTAAATCTGTACACAGCAGCCCTGCTTAATCACATCCATTAGGGAACTAAAAATGAACACACTTCTGTGGCCGCTGAATGCCCCACTTGGTTGACATGTTTAAGCTTTTGTGTTACTGTCCAAACTTGCCACCTGGTATGTTTGCAAGATTTATGCAGAATGGAGCACAAACGTACTGAATATGACTGCGTTACCAAACTCCTGAGGTCCAGGGCAGCAGAAGCTGTATTTGATCTGCACTGGTCATTTCCAAGGATTAAAGTCAACCCCTCAACCGCCCTTCAAGACCTTCCAAAGCCTAGTCTCAGCCCTACTTCCCAGATGGGTCTCTGAAGCCTCTTGCAGAGACTGGCTTATCCACTCCTTTCCCAAAATGCATGCCTTGCACTCCTCTGCACCCTCTTGGGTTTTCAATTATAGTGTATTTTCATTTAAAACAGCCTTACTGCTGCCTATCAACATCCAATTCTCCCTTTAGATTGGGCCCAAATGCTGCCTCCTCCAGGAAATTTCCCTGGATTGCTGCAAACCCCATTGCTCTTCCTGACACCCTACTTGCCCTGAGTGCAGGGAGCAGTGTCCATCTGTCTCCTGGATCAGATCATGACCCATATGCAGTGTAGCCTCATGGACTGTGCCTTCAATGAGGGGGTGCACAGCCCCTCTGCATGCTGTGACTCAAATGAACACTGGGGCAGGGGAAGGTGTAATTTTTATTGAAGTGTCCTCAGCATAAGGTCTGTTTTCAATTTTCTGAGATATAAACTTGCGTAACATATAAAAATTAAACCAACGACATCGAATTTTCATTCCAGTTGCTATGTCACCAAGCCTGCTGGCTGGCACCTGGAGGAGCTGGGAACAAAAGGTGCCATTGTAGGTGAAAAGCCCAAGTGACCACTACCTGGGCTGATCATTCAGTTAAATGCCTTTTGTTTACTGAAAAACACCTCAGATGGCCCAGCTCTATGGTCAAGCGGGCTGTATCTGCCTCTCTGGGCCACCTGCTGGATGCCTGTGTGGCAGGAACTGTGTTTCACACGTCTCTGAATCTTCCTCAGTGCTTAATTCCTGGTGGGTGCTCAATTACTACTTGCTAAACAAATGAATTCTTCTTTATTCAGAGTCCATACAAATACAGGTACCTTCAAAAGTGCAATGTTACTGGAGACATAAAAGTTGAATTAACAGAGAACAAGTACCGCCCACATTCTTCATAGGATGACGGGTGTTATCCAAGCCATGTGTTTATACTCTTTGATTCCATCAACAGCAGCCAACAGAGATGAATGGAAGCAGAGGAGAAAGAAAACATCCAGGTTGTTGAAACCATTACACTTGCATCTTTCTACTGTTGCTTTCAGAACCATCTCATGATCTTGTAGTTGATATACGGTGCTTAAAAATAAAATCAATGACATACACCACCGCTGGGGATATTCAGGAGGCCTTGGCTTTCACCTTGGATAGCAGCATCTCATTCTTGCGGCCCTCCTGGAGGGGAAGTAGTAAAGAGAGTGGTGACTATGTTAGCACCCATGTGAGGGCAAGAAGGTCTTAATGCTCTTCTCATATCCCCATGGGAGATACCTCCTGGCTGACCCTGTCTCTTGGCATGCTGCTGCCAGCATGGTAAAGCTTCCTGATGACCTACTGACTTCAACATTAAAATAGCTATAATGATGCTCCATTTCTAAGCTGTCAGACTGAGAATGAAATGCAAGGACAGGCACTGTCATTCCAAAACACTTCATGAAGTCTATGAAACCTCAAGGGGAAAGAAGCAGAAAGCATGCTTATCTGCCAGTCTTGGCCTACTGTGGTGAGGAAGTGAAGGAAGGCTTTGGAGACAGCAGCCTAAAAAGAGATAAAAGGCAGCCCTAGTTTACATAGCAGGCAAAACATGTACAGAAGTTCTAACAACAGTGAAGGCTACGAATATTCTTGTCTTTAAGAGGAAATTCAGAAAATAGAGATATTCATCAAGAAATAACCTGCCCTTCCTTAAAACTAAGGTATATGAAATCAATGGTGTGTACTGCAGGTTATCATTGAAGGAGATTGGTCACTGTCCCAGCCCCTGCCTGTAGAATCTGACATCCAGTGGCACAAGTCACCTCTGCATAATTTCATGTTCCCTTCTGGGGTCATCTTCAAAAGCTTCTAACCGCGCCTTCTGCCCTTGTTCAACTGGCCTTAGCACCTCCAGATACCTCCATCTGCTAGCAAACCTCCGATAACCCTGAGCCCAGTCTCTGGGCAGGGTCACAAGGAGCACTGCTTTTAAATTGGGAGATAAAAGTAGTAACAGAAAGGGTCTGGAGAGGTAGAGCTCACTGGGCCCATGGCTTGGCACTGGTCAGCCCTCCAGGAGCTGTGTTTTCCTGGAGGTCCATTTATTGTGGGAGAAAAACTTTCACCCTTGAACCCTCTGCACTCAAAACCACCACCGTCCATTTTTCCACCTCCCTTGGCCAGGGTCAGGTACTCCCAGCTCTTGGGAAGCCCTATGATCTTCTGGCAGTGTGATGGCAGCATGACCACAGTGACCTTGGTTTTGCTAAGACTAGTGATGGCTCATCTACAGGATTCAGAAGTATCTTTCGCTCAGGGGGCAAGGAAACAGGTGGGTACTTGCCTTGGTAGTAAGGCTGAATACTTTGAGGCTGTCAGAAGCAAGGTGTTCTGACACTTGAGCACCTTTTTGGGGAGAGACAGGCAGTTCATGGGTTGGGTGGAGGGTGGACAGAAATAAGGTGATGCTGGGTTATATTTGTTCTTTTAAAAAATAAGAAAGTTGGCTGGGTGCAGAGGCTCACATCTGTAATCCCAGCACTTTGAGGGCTGAGGCTGTCAGATTACAAGGTAAGGAGTTCAAGACCAACCTGGCCAACATAGTGAAACCCCATCTCTACTAAAAATACAAAAATTAGCTGGGCATGGTGGCAGGCCTCTGTAGTCCCAGCTACTCAGGAGGCTGAGGCATGAGAGCAATTGCAGTGACCCAAGATCATGCCATTGCACTCCAGTCTGGGCAACAAGAGCAAAACTCTGTCTCAAAAAAAAAAAGAAAAAAGAAACGAGGTCAAGAGATCGAGATCATCCTGGTCAACATGGTGAAACCCTGTCTCTACTAAAAATACAAAAAATTAGCTGGGCATGGTGGCGCGTGCCTGTAATCCCAGCTACTCAGGAGGCTGAGGCAGGAGAATTGCCTGAACCCAGAAGGTGGAGGTTGCGGTGAGCCGAGATTGCGCCATTGCACTCCAGCCTGGGTAACAAGAGCGAAACTCCGACTCAAAAAAAAAAAAAAAGAAAGTTTTCTTTTTAAAATGGATTATTGAGATGTACTCGGAGAAAAAAAGACTCCAGCTTAAAACAAATAGAGGAGAAGAGATGGAACAGGAACAGGGAGCTACATTATTATATTGTTATACTACGCTCTCTACTTTGTGTATTTTTGAAGATTTCCATAATGAAAATATAAAACAGTAAATAAGTTTCAACTGTCACCCATCTCACCTATTAAATGAGGCCAAAACAACCCTGAAGGATCAAAACTCTACCACGGGGAACTGTGTGTGTCACAGCATGCTGAGGCAATGCTTGTACTTTTTGGTAGAGACAGTCTACACTGTCACCTCGTATGTAAGCCTACAGAATCATACTCTGTGTCTTCAAAGCAAATATAAAAGAGGCGCTTTTGGTATTTGTTTCTAGAAGAAAAAGGAAAATATCTCATCACTTCATCTCTTTCCTGCTGAAAACTCTATCCAGGCCCACTAGATGCCAGACAGACAGCTCAGTTCACTTAATGTCATGTACCCAAAGCCAGCTTGACAAAAACGCAGGGTTTGAATTCATCAGTGCTATCGAATTTAAATCTTAGTTTCATGGCCTGATGAGAAACTGTGGCTCCCTAAGCCACAGTCATGAAACAAAGTATTCACTTAATACTGCAATTAGGGTGATTTCAGAGTATGTGTTGTTTCCTGGCAGACTTACAATTAATCAGCTCTCTCAGGGCAAGTCAACGGGGTTTTAGAGAAAACCCAATGTCTCTAATCAAGAAGCTTCTGAAACCAGAGGAGGCTGGTTGTCAGGATGAGGGCATGACTTGGTACCTAAATGGTGCCCATGGTGCATCACTGTTGCCCACTTAATGTGGGGTAAACAAAAACTCAAGAAAGGCAACCGCTAAGGTGGCAAAAAAACACACTGTAGACAATACTGTGTTTTCCATGAAGAATAATTATTACACATTACAAGTGCTCGGGGCCAGGATACAGTGGGAATTCAGTGAGTAGATGGTGAGAAGGCAAAACAGAGGGTGCTGGGAGAAGGCTCCACCCTGGATGAAAGTCCAAATTGAACTGTAATATGTAAAACAGAAAAGCAGCAGAACTAGTCTGGCTGAAGATATGGGGTAGAGCCTACGGAGCAGCAAGCAAGTCCCTATCACCACCTCCTCCTCAACACCTGTGGTGGCCCCAGATTACCTCGCAGGAGCTTGTGGGAGAAAGTTTAAGATGCTGGAACACTGACATGTGGTTGTTAATTTTAAATTTTTAACAAGTAAAAAAAAAAAAAAAAAAAAAAAAAAAAAAGGACTACCCACTATCACCATTATTTTCTAAGAGAAAGACAATTTTAACACCAAAAAATAAAAGGACATGCTAAATGTGAGGTGAAATATATTTAAATGAAATATGTAAGAACATATTTCATTTAAATATATTTCACCTCACATTTAACATGTCCTTTTATTATGAAATATGTAAGAACATATTTCATCCCCTCTCCCTCTTCTTACTTGCTTTGGACTGAAGGAAGCAGGCCTGGCAAGAACCTGGTAGGTGTCTTAGCTGGCTGTGAAGGAACCACCCTCTGTGTCTGGTGTGACATATGACTGCCAGCACACGTGGGAACCCAGACCCAAGCCACTTAACACCTCTGAAGGAACTGGTGCCTTGGAGGTCATCCTAAGTCCTCACCTGAGAGCCTACAGGAGGAGAATGAGCCTTTCCATTTCATTTTCAATTGCTTTGATTTTGACAGCTTATACTTATCCTCCACAACTTACTTGCATTTTGTTTCTACACTGTCAAAAGAGTGTCTCCAAACAACATTTGAGACAAAATTCTTCTGAGTTATTTTGATTAAACGGAAGGAGGAGCTCCGAGGCAGGCAGCAAGTTCCTAACTGTTCCCTGCCAGTTCGTTCACTGGCCCTTCTGGGACCTCAGCTTCAGCCTGTGCTAGTCTCAAAGGACTCCCAGACTGGAGCCCCAGCCCCTCCCTCACCATCCCTGCACTGCTGTGGCTGAAGAACTCTTTCTACCCACAGCTAAATCCTGCTCACCCTAGAGGGCCCTCCCTGACCATACCACCTAAATCAGACTCCTCACCTGGCAAAGTTTGTAACTGTTACTACTTATTTGTTATGACTTGTGCTTAGCCTGTCATCAGTCTCTCCCACCACAACGTACGCTCCTTAAGGGGAGGGAGGTGTACTGGCATCTGCCCAGGGGTCTAGAATTTGGAACACTGGAAAAGATAAGATTCTGAAATGCCCATGGGATATGGCTTCCAGAAGTTAAATCACAAAAAAAGGAATGGTGTAGAAGAGAAGGCAAAGATGAAGAAGGAAAAAAGAAAAGTCTTAAAATAAGAACAAAATTATGAGCATAGAAAGACCGCGTTTTTTATTCTGCAGACCAAACACCAGGATACAACCTACCTTTAACTCTGCTGTATTTTCAGCAGTCTCTAAAGTCACTGAAACCACATGGATTTAGGTTAGGGAGAAGGAATCCCTTAAAATAAAGCTGCTGAGACCTGAGCAAGGGACAAAATGAAGTCTTTTTGGAAAATCTCTCAAGGGCAGACACTTTTCTTTCTGGAACAATGAAGAGTAACTGCCCAAATGCAGGAAGGAAAAACAAAATTTGGTTGAGTGTTGGGTGTTAGGAGGTTCCAGGCGTGGTGCTGTATGTTTCATATGTCTCATCTGACCCAGTGGGACCCACCAATAAGGAAACTGAGGCTGGGAGGGATTAGGTCACTGCCAAAGTACACAGCTGGTAAGCAGTAAATGTAGGATTCGAATCCAAGTCTGTGACATTTTGAAGTTCTCTTTTTCCACATGGCTTCTCGAGGTCCCTCCCCGCCCTAAGATTGGCGGGAGGGAAGATACTATTTCTGAATCCACAACAAATGCTGTTTCCAGGTGGCCCCTGATATGGATTGAAGTCATTTTGTTTGTGAGTTTAATGTACTTCCTAAGTGTTAGGAAAACTAAAGTGATGTGAGGTCTTGAAACATTTAACCAGACCTCAAGATGGGCCACAGAAAAATGCAATCTTCAGCTACTTAGATGCCATACTTTACTGCTAGATCACACCTCTGTCTTGTTATTTCCCTTCACAGACCAGAAGAAAACCAAAAAATTGCTGTTTTTTAATGGTTACTCTTGAGGTGATACCTCACATTAGCCTTAACGTGCTACCCAACCTTCTTACCTCCTTGAACTCTTTCACAGTCTTAAAGTATAGCCTCTGCTTTTCTAACAGCTCCAAGTACTGGTCGTTCAACTGGTCTCTTCTCATTTTGTTCTCTTGCTTTTTCTTTTCCATCTGTTGAAACATTTTGGGAAATGGTGATGAAAAGACACATTCTACCCAAGGGCTGCTGGCAAAATCCAAAAGGCAGCAGTTGTTAAGTTTCATGGATTTCCTTCCGGTGTTTTCCTTCAATATATAATTTTTCAGGTTGATTTATTTGCATGCCATTAGACGGAGGCTCGAAAATTTAGCAATTTTTCTATCATTGAGTATTAACTATTTCCATTTTTTTTTCTCACTACAATTTCACAATGAATAGGTTGGTGATTCTCATATAGGAGCTATTTTGCCCCCCACCCCCACCCCCAACAACAGTGATAATGTCTGGAGAGACTTTTGATTGTCGTAACTGTGAGGAGTGGGTGCTACTGGCATTACTGGGTCACCAGCAATGCTGCTAAATATCATACAGTGCACAGGATACCCCCACAGCAAAGAATTATCTGGCCCAAAATGTTAACTGTGCTGAGGTTGAGATTTAAATAACTGTGCTCATATAGTTATTTAAACCCTGATTTAAATAACTGTGCTCATATAATAAAACTGTGTAAGTATTTTCATATTATAAATTTTCTACGCTATCATTTTAAAAACAATACAACATTCCTGCTGATTGCTAACTTACCCATCTTTCTACTGGTAGACAATTTAAGATATTTTCAGGATTTTAATCTCATAAATAGACATTAGGCTTTGATTTAAATAGACTTTTCTAAGGTACCTAAAAGCTTATTCATTCAACAAATATGGACTTAGAACCTACTGAGTAGCATGTAGTGGTGAACACGGCAAAGTCACGGCTCCCACAGAACCTACATTCTAGAGACTCACATTAAGCAAGCACCCTGACAGACACACAAAATATTCCCAACAGTGATCAGTCCTGTGAGGAAAATGAACCAGGGAGGTGAATGGGTACACGGCTTGGAAGCTCAGGGAGGCTCTATGAGGACCCTTCAGCCGGGCTGGCAATGCTATGTGGTGTATTTCCAGAAAGTAAATCCAGAGCATCGGCCAGGAAATGAGGGCAGAAAGAGTTATGGTACAGACTGGGTGCCCGACTCATGGCCGGTGCTCAAAAGCTTGTTGAATCAAATTCCGAGAGATGCTTTGCTGTGGCTTTGCTGATGCCTGACGGTGATTTCTGTGCTACACTTCGGAAGGGATTTAGTAAACAAAAGCTACAATTAAACTGGCTACATTTTATTCAGCAGTTCCCTCCACACTATAGGCCTCTGTTGACTGCATGGGACAAATGCAACTTGGTGTCCCTAAGGCCTATCCCAATGCTGTTCAGGGAAAGACCCATGACATAGAGGGACTGATTTGCCTGGTCAAATCCTGACCCTGCATGCAGTTTCTGAGTCCCAAGACCTTGTATCCTACTCTTTCCACAGGTCTGCACACGGATGCCTGGTGCATACCCATGCTAGGTATTTAATTTGGTACCTCCCTTGTGCCCAAGTCTTCCAGAGTGGACAGTCCCCTATGGGGTCCCTGGTTGGTGTCCTACTACACTTGGAGCCCTGGCTCAGCAGCAAGTCCTGGTTCTTGTCGACAGAACCCCTAACACAGCCTGCATGGGTCTCTCACACCCAATCATGATCCTACCACAGTGACACACCAGCCCACAACAACTCTCACTACTGTTCCTTCAGAGGCTCCAACTGTCAAAGCAGTAGACACCTTTTCCACTGTGCTGGCTAGGACCTCACAGCTGGGTCCCTCTCTCTTATTAGCACAACTGGCAGCTCTATCTCAGGCCTTTCCTGTCTGCTCTGTACTTTAGTAAACACTCACCATGACTGATTATATCCTAGTGAGGTAGCAATGCACTTAAATTATGAGTATCACAGTTTTTGTTATGAGAAGCATGTGACATTAGATGTTGAGTGAATGATCCACCATCTGGTCCATAGTAGCTGCTCAATAAAAACAGTTTTTCTTCTTAACATTTCACATCCTAGAATGCATGAGGTAAGTAGTAAGAGTCCAACTAACTCTGAGAATCAGGAGTTGCTCTTTGATATAAGCCTCATTTGCACACTCTTCTTAGTGTCCCTTTACCCAAACATAACATTCTTATTCCCTACTTATCACCTCTTCACATCCAAGGTCTGTGAAGTGCTTGTGCCAGGCACTTGCTCACAGTATTCCAGCGATCCAGAGACCTTACCTCTGAATGAGGTCAAAATGTGGACTAATCTGTGACCTCTTCTTTACTCAGAAACCCTTAGAGCATAAATACCTATTCAATTATTGTTACACAACGCTGGTCTACAATGTGACACTCTGAACCTGCTGGTTCTGAGAAACGGTGCTTGAGAGGACACAGACTCCCCTGCTACATCTATGACAGCAGGACCCATTATGGCACCATTACAGGGAAAGCTACATTGTTTTTTTTTTTTTGTTTTTTTTTTTTTCCAAATAAACACAATAAAACACATCCATCCAAGTGAGTGCTGTTCCATTCACAGTGTCAACATTCAACATTTAAAGCATATCTGGAACCCTCTTTGAGAACTGCTCTTTGACTCCACTGAATGAATTCACTCATTCAACAAACAGTTCTTGAGGGCTTAATCAGGGGTTAGGTGTCACGTTAGCCACTGGGGATGCAGACCTGAGAAAGAGAGCCCATTCTGCCCTGGGTGCTACTGACCCATCTGACACCCACCATGGAGGGGAGAGACAGATACAGGGATGCCTCTTTCACACTGGTCAGCACTGAGGTGCCAACAGCATGAAGCCTGGGGGAGGGTGAAGTGAGTGAAGGGGTGAGGCCCATTTCTTTCCCTGCTCTGGTTCATAGTCAAGAGCAACAGGAATTCATGGGGCTTTTTCCTTTGGCTTCCACTTCCTGTCAGTGTAAACAGGCAGCGGAAGCCAAAGGAAAAATCCCCATGAATTCCTGTTGTTGCTGACTGAACCAGAGCAGCTTTCTGAGGAGCAATGACAGGGTTCATGTGACTACCACACTGACACCTGGGTTGTCACAGGCTTTTGGTCAGCCAGGTTCTCTGCCTTCCACCTACTCACACCCCAGGTCATTGAGAGGGGACTGCATTTGCTATCTGCAAAGCAGCGTATCCTGGCTTGGGTGAGTGTGCATATATAGGCAAGTACTGACTTACGTAGTTCTCATTTTTGTGGCTGAATAGTCTGAGAAATCATGCTTATTACTAGTGATACTTTTTTTTCTCCTCCTTTGACATTGCTTTATTGAAGCCATTCACAGAGAGATTAATGTTATTTTTCTACAGGGAAGGGGATATGGAGCACTTCTGCCCTTGGCTCATCTCTTGTGAGATGAGATTACAGGCGGCTTGAATGTTTGTCTTCTGTAACAGGGTATTTTATGATGACAGGACCTACAGGTAATTCCTTCTTTCTTATGTGTTTACATTTTGGTATCACTCACAGGAGCCCTTTGCCCCAAGATGATAAGAGGAGAAACCCTAAGTCCCTGGAAGATTTTACTGCCTTGTCGAAGAACCACTCTGGTGTGATACATTTTTTAAACAGGATCAGACACAAGAGATATTTGGAAGTACTAGTTAGGATTCATCTGAGAATGGTGGTAGGAAACTGCAGTTGTGTCTGTAGGAAAATCCCATGCTGCACCCTGAGTGGTGTCTCTCTTTTCTCTTCAGATTTCTGAGGTTGAATTTCATCTCACTTTAGCAGAACTCAGTTCAGCAATGATTTCCCTTTTTTATAGGGGGTTCCTAAAAATAAAAATGCTCTCAAGATCCTAAGATTCTAAGGACTGAATCTCTTGTGGCAGAATGTCAGGTATCACAGATCCACCGAGGAAGTGAATCTAGTCAAGAGAGGAAGCCTGCTGGTGAAAAGTGGTTTCCTCATCTGTAAAATGGGTGTAATACTGTTCACTTCAGAGGTCTTTTAGGAAAGTCAGCACAGTGCTTGGTACGCAGTAGGTGTTCGATCCTGGGAGCTACTCCTAACCGCAACTTTTAAAACACTGGGTATAGGCAGCTCATGGGACAGGCTCTGCCCACTACAGAGTGAGAGGCATGGTGGGAATCCCTCTGCAGAAATGTGTCTTTTCAGGATTGAGGGCACATTCCCCAACTACCAGAAGAGGCCTGTTCTTCCCAGGACCTTCCCTGTCACCACTATAAAAACTGGGCTGCATTATAGAAAAGAAGCCATCTGACCTTCATTCTACTTTGCTTAATTCCTTCCACGATCTGTTCCATCTGACGTAAAAACTGGTCCCGGGCAGCAGGAGAGGCCATGGCTCTGAAAGAAAAACCAGCAGAGTTATGAGTGGCACACAGGACTCTGAGGCAGGGGGAGATGCCAAGAAGCAACCAGGCCTTTGCAAGGCAGTGGAGCCATGGGGGCCCCTGGAATCCCAGGCAATTAGGGATTCAATACCTCTGAGAAGGCATGGATATTAGCCTGGTCTTATAGCTGCATATTAATCTTTTTTTCTCATACTTTCCCTATAACTTTCTAAACTAATATGTCTTTTCTTAAAAGTAAAATGTGACTAAAATTAACAAAAATATAATTTATTTGGAATGCGGCATGTACTGCTTAAGCAATGAATTTCATTTGGTTTATAAAATTTGAGGATTGGGAGGTACTTGAGATTGGTAGATATATTCTGAGATTTCCTAAAACCAGGGCTGAGAAACCTGGTCCTATTTCTAGAAGCAGCAGCTAAACAAGTGAATTCCTTGATGTCCTAAAACATTCCTCTTCATCTCCCAACTCTGTAGAGGGAAGGACACCAGGAGGATCAGAACACACACATGCACAGATGCACACACGCACGCATGCACTAAGAATTCTCCTGAAGGATGTGCTGATGGAGCAGAACTCTTCACAAAACACTCAAACCACAGGCTCTCTTGATCATGGGGCAAGATGAAAATGACATTTTCACAAATGTCACAAGGTTGTATATTATATACATAGTGAATCTGAATCTTATTAGAAAGCTGTGGGTTTCCTTTTTTTTTTTTTTTAATTAGAAAAGAAGCTTAAAATCTAGAACCTGTAATTCATTGTGATCTCAGTCTCAATGTGTCCCCTGTCACCTGACAAGGGACAGCAGAGATTTGTACCAGAGAGAAAGGAAGCATGCTCTCCAAGGAGCAAGCCCTGGGGCTGCTGGATGGTGGCGGGGGGGGCACCAATGGACATGCTTGAGGACTGGTATGATTTGGGAACAGGTGGGTCTTGACATTTAGTTTTTGGAGAACGTACACATTAACAACAAAAAAAATATCTACCATGAGATTTTAAAAATTATATAAATTCCATTATGTAAATTTTAAAGCATCTCCATGTGTTCATTAACAAATATTAATTTGATAATATACAGAAAGATTTTAGTAGGTAGGCACAATCAAATTATTTGAAAGTTAACTTTTTTTCCTAAGCTCTTCCTTCACTCTACTATTGTTATATTTTTGCAGGTACTCAAGGACAGTATAAACAAGATATATCTGCATTTCGCAGAAGGGCTAGAAGAGTAAGAATCACATACCCAGCATTAAGTATTGCATGTGCCTTTTTCAAAAACATTACAGAAATGTGAGGTGGGCTGAATTCAAAGGGCAAAGTGACACAGTATTAGCAGGAAGGAGAACTGACAGTACTTACTGTGAGAAGTTCTCATGAATTGAGTTCAGAAGACTAATCTGGGGAAGTAAAAAAACACAAATGAAACTATAAGAAAGGCTTAAAGATGTCCACACTACTACAACTGCTGCAAGCTTGCCTGTCTCCAGATACTGCTTCTGCAAGGAACAGACGCCTTGTTTATGAAGATTAAAGTAACACATGAAAAAAAAAAATGAGCCACATGTTCTCAGTCTCAGTTTTCCTCAGGGAATCCACCTTCTTCTCACAAAAAATTTCCTCTTTCTACGGGGCATTTCCACAGGAATGTAGGGAGGGGGCGCTTTGATGGGACCTGGATCCCAGCTGAGAGGACACTAAGCTAACATTAGGGCTCTCTAGGCAAGCTGCCACCACAGCCCTTTCCATCTTGCCAAATACTGCACTTTATTTTCAGGGATAACAGCTTAAGGGAGTCAGACAGTATGGAGACTGAGAACTGTGTTCACCCTATTCCTTCCCATAGAATCTTCTCGCCAATGCAGCAAGCTGCAGGGTGGCTGAGTGTCTCCAAGAAGACGCACTGTTCAAGGCCCCATGGACACTGCCTTAGCCCCACAGGAGATCCTCTATCTGCCCCAATTATACAGTCCTGGGAAGGGCTCTGAGACAGGAGTAAGGAAACCTTGGTCATCTTTCTGGCCATAAAACTACTCAACTTGGAGGCTCAGAACTAAGTAATTACCACATATTAACTTTAGGTTCACAACCTGCAGTGTAGAAATATTTCTTACCCTTACTACTACACAGGAAGGTTTTAAAGTTAAAATACCACAGGCATAAATCTATTTAAAATAAAATACCAAATTTATTCAAATGTAACACTCTAATTGTGTTAACGTGGCTTGGAATTAAAAAGCCCAGCTCCCCACTCCGCCTCACAATATTCCTAGTTTTTAAACAGTGGAACAACTTTAAACACTGCTGATGAAGGAAGGTCAATGGGGTTTAAGGCCTTTGGGAAGAGGCTGGCCTACCCCTAAGTCAGGCAAATCTTTCCCCTGCCAGGTAGGAGGGCCCCGAGGACAGGATGTGGGGCAGAGCACAGACCCCAGGTCTGATGCAAATCCCACAAAATGAATTCATCTATTCAAGCATATATCAAATGTCTGTTACATGCCTGCCACTGTGTAAGGCCCCGGATACACAGAAAAATAAAACAAAAGGAGTGCCCTCTAGGATGACAGAGATCTACCTGGTTTGACAGCAGGTGATAAAGGTGACAGTAATTATAGATGCCTCAATTTGGGCAGGTAAAAGCCACATTTGTAATATTATTCTTATTAAAGTAGTAATTAGTGTAAGCTGCAAGGTGATGATAAAATGAAGACACAGTCTGTCAACCTCAAGGTGAGGGGGAGGGTAGGAATGAGTATGTACTGAGAATCCACCATGTATAAGGAACTTTACATTTTCTCATTCTGTCCTCACTATAATGATCACCAATGCAATCAGGTGTTATTCCCATTTTATAGGTGAGAAAAACGAGGCCACACTATAACCCACATAAACCCAAATCTGATTGAATCCAAAGCCCATATTCTCTTCAGGACACTGTGCTGTCTTTTTTTCTCTCTTTTTTAAATTAAGACATATCCGCATACTGTGCCCCAACTGTTTGTCATCAACTTGGGAACGCCCAATTTAACCTGTTTTTAAGCGTTAGAAAGATGCAGGGAGTGACAGTGACCATATCAGCCCTCTTTCACCCCTGCTTTGAATTTCACAAACCGTTTAGTTCATGCCGAAGTCTGCCACTGATTATTAAACAGCTATTTTCTCTCTGTAAAGGATACCAAGCCCAAACCCCATTTCACTCAACTGGTTCCTCCCTTCCTTTAAAATTCAAACTAGTCTCACCAACTCCAGAGCTTCCATTTTGTTCCTTTTAACAATGGCATTTCTCCCACAGCATTCTTGAATGGCTGTCCACTAGTCTCACTTCACAGCAGACAATCTGGGCTCCAAAAGAATCTTGCACTTTCTGACTGGGTAGGCCAGCACTGGGCTCCAAAGGAATCTTACACTTTCTGACTGGGTAGGCCAGCACTTAGCATATAAAACAGGCACTCTTTCTGCTAATGCTGAACATATCTGTCCCAGACATCAAGTTCCATTTGACTTCCTGGAGTCAACTGCACTGTTACCTGCTCATCTGATTAAGCCATTTTCTTTTTATAAATGTTCTTACCTCTTTTTCCAAATAAACCTTTTTATCATCCAGGGTATTATATAAAGTGAAGAACTGCTTGGTTTCTTTGTGCACTGCTGAAACTGTAAATGTAAAGAAATGGACACACAAATAAGAACAGGTATCAGAATGACCTACCTGCCCTCTCCCCCATGAATGCACTGCCAGGACAGCTGTCAGGCCTGGGAGCTTACTCTGCAGAAACCCCACAGTGTACAAACAGAATCGCCTGGGAAGCTTTTAACAAGTCTCAGGATCAACAAAAGGGGAATGCCTGAAGGTGGGACCCAGGTGGTGACAGTGAGTACCCAAAGTTGAAAATTACTCCCATAAATGAACCCGTTACCCTTACCTCATCCAGCTAAAGAAACTGGTGCGGGTTGTAGATATTTGACAATAATAAATTGATACAGGTATTCTGGTGCAACTGCTTGAAAATGTCCTTAGTGTAAATACGTCTTTACCAAATGACTTTAACCTGTCTGAAGTCTGTTCTGTCAAATATACAGATGCAGGTATTATTATTATTGCTAAAAGCTTTGAAGCAAGCAGGAATAGAAAATTAAAGGGAAAGATTTAACTTAAAGCAGAAACTACTTTCTAGTGAAAACTGTCACTGCTGATCCCCGCCTCTGATCATCTGAGTCCAAGTGAGGACTGGATGAAATCCCAGCGCGGTGGGAGAGAGGATGTGAAGGAAGCGTGATGTGAGCTCCTCCAACCGAGTCAGTGCTGTAGCTTAAACCAGGAAGGAAGCTGGAGAGGCCAAGCCCTGAAGGCAGAGTCTTAGGTGGATTTTGAAATACTATGTGGGAATTGTAGGATAACGGCACTCTGGACTTGGGTACTAGCTCACAGGCCAAGATGCAGATGTGCAAGAGAGGTGAAGCTGGGTGAAGTGCGCCAAGACGATGCAGGACTCAGTACAGTATATTTAGGGTTCTAAACATTACCCCAAAAGTTGCAGGGAGCTATTAAGTTTTAAAGCTTTTAGAGTAAAATGATCAAATATATGTTGAAAAGGATCTAATTAGACTCCGAGTGGCAAAGAAAGGCGGTTCAGCAGCAGTCCAAAAGAAATAGACTTGAAAATTAGTAAGATACAGAACTGGCAAGCAGCTTGAGTCAGAGAACTGAGAGGGGTCCAGTTTGGCTAAGATGAATATGGGGTAGGGGGGCTGAATTCAGTTTTCTACCTGTGGAGTTTGAGGCATCATAGGGACATACAAAAGTGGGAGCCTAGAGAAGTGGTGATCAGTTCTTGCCTGGGGTGGGGAGCCTAGAATAGATTTACAGGATCTGAGTTGGGTCTTGAAGAATTTAGCCTGACAGAAGAGAAGGGATCCAGGAACAGGAGTCAAGGCTAAAACGTCAAAGCTCATGGTTTGCTCAGAGGCAGTGTGGAGACTGGCGAGGCCAAAGTGAGGGTTCAGATCAGGAAAGGGGACTCCAGGCAGGCCACTCAGACTGGGGAGGAACCCAGGCATAGTAAAGAAAGAGGCTTTATTCAGTAGGGACTGAGGAGTTCCTGAAGATTTGTCGGAAGTGACAGAATGAGATGTGTGGCTAGGGGACTTGGAGGCACTGCAGCTAAAGGTCATTTAGCTGACATATGATGCAAGAGCAGATACGGCAGGAGTGGTAGGAAGGGAAAAGGCAATGGCAGCCTTGAAGGCCCCTCTAAGCCTGATGGCACATGGTCCCTTATTCAGGCTGAAGGGGAACATGATTCTGGGTTACTGGGTGAATATGATGCTGTTAAGGGTTGAGGCACATCAGCAAGAAAGTCTGCAGAGAAGAACAATGAGTGAGGACTGATCTTTAGACATCAGGGTCACGATGTTCTGTGTGAAGCTGGAAAGTGGTGCGGGAACTCAGGGAAGGCTGTGTGGAGGACCAGGATGAGGTCTGCTTTGAAGTTTTATTCTAAAAGCGCAACTGGTTCAACAATCTGTCTGTGGAGAGGGCAATGAGAGCACCACAGTGCTGCTCCCGGGGATGCCAAGCGGGCCTGATGATGAAACAGAGCTTTCTGGTGGTGGCTTTGTGGACTGCGCTCTGGTGCACGCTCTCCCATGCTGAAGTGGGACAGACCCCTCGCCTCCTGTCCCTCCCCAGCCTCGAGAGCTTGTCTGTGGTTGATGCACCTACTCTGGCGGTAGAGTTCAATAAATCTCTTCTGATACTGTATTAGCTCGGCACGACTGGGGACTTCATCAATCTTGTGGTGCAAAATAGCTATTTCTCGATTTCTTCGAGCCTAAATGCAAAAGGGAGGCAGAGACAGTACTATTTGGTAAAAGGCCTTACTTCTTTGGGGAGCCAAAATATTGCCTGCACCCCAATCTGAGCCCAACCACACACCCTAGAATGCAGGTGCAAACTTCTGCCATCAGCTTAAAGGTCCCCATCTCAGATTTGGATTGACTTTCCCACTTTCCTAGGTGTGGGAGGAGGCGTGGCTATGAACTGAACCACAGAAGACACCAAATGAATGAACCAGGAGGGAAGACACTGAATGGGAAGGGCTTCTATGGACAGAACCTGCAACCAAGGCCCCCAAGGACTCTAAAGTAGCCAGCTCCACCACTGCCAGGTGGGGACAGGCAACAAAAGAAATGCTCAAAATGATGGGAAGCTATGCCACCTTGCTGCCTCTACATGCACCCCAAATTTCTCATCCTGGTGGAAAAGATCCTACAACCTACTCCTTAAATATCTTTCCAGTATTTTCTCCCTTCCACAGACTCCAGAAATTGCCCTACTGACTGGGTCTGGGAGGCAGGGCACTGCTGTGTGGTGTGGCACAGTGCAGGCGCAGCTGCTGGGAGAGTGAGCCGCTCACTTGTACATGGGTCCCACTGAACATGTGTAGTCTCCAAACCAAGCGGGCTGTAAGTGCTGCCTTTCTTCTGTGCCTGCATCCCTCTGTCCACCACGTCTTCCCACTCTCCTGCCTGCTTCACCTGCAGCACCAGATGTGAATCTCTAATTCACTGGGGAAATAGGAGCCTCCTGGTGGGAAACCCACATTCAATTCTGGTGACCTAATCCAAAACTGGGCCTCCGCAGTTCTATGGAGAGGGAAGGATGTATTTCTCCCTTAGGTCAAGGTTACACTCCCCACAGGTGCTCAGGCTCTGACTTCTAGTTTTCTTTCAGGAGTCTTAAGATACAACCATTCAGTCTTTTACTGCATCTGTTTTCCTACCTACTGACCCTTCTCATCGGCATTTAAATAAATACATGTCCTCACTCTTTAAAAGCCCTTTTATTTAGGCTGGGCGTGGGGGCTCACACCTGTAATCCCAACACTTTGGGGGGCTGAGGCAGGTGGATCACGAGTCAGGAGTTCAAGATCAGCCTGACCAACATGAAGAAACCCTGTCTCTACTAAAAATACAAAAATTAGCTGAGCGTGCTGGTGCGTGCCTGTAATTCCAGCTACTCAGGAGGCTGAGGCAGGAAAACTGCTTGAACCCAGAAGGCGGAGGTTGCAGTGGGCCGAGATTGTGCCATTGCACTCTAGATTGGGTGACAGAGTGAGATTCCACCTCAAAAAAAATAGCCCTTCTTTAAGCCCCATCACCTTTCAGCTACTAGCCTCTCTCTTCCCTTTTACAGGTAAGAGAAATGTACTGAGAGCCATGCACATGAGCATCTCTGTCCACACCAGTCCTCCTTCAACCCACTGTGACTGGGCCATCCCCAGTGCCGCACTGAACTGCTTTTGCCAAAGTCGCTGCACACCTTTCTAGGGACACACCTCATGGACAATTCTCAGCTCCTAGCTTTCTTGATTTCTAGTGACACTTCCCACTCTCTCTGCTGAGCTCTCTGCTAGGCTCCCCCGAGCCTCGTACACTTGTTTTCCCATCTGGCTGCTCAGGTGCATCATCACTGGGGGATCCGTCCTTCTGCTCTGCCTATCCTCACATGTGCTTACCAGGGTTAGTCTCAGGGCCTCTTCCACATTCCACACCCCCAGTCCTCATCATCACTGCCCAGGCACCCAAATCTCTGGCCCATACTACTCTGGGAGTGAGACCTGACAGCCAAGCACTCCTTGGACATTTCAATATGGCTGAGTACCCCAACTTTGAAAAGCCCCAAACAGATCTCATTAACACTCCTATTTATACTCCTCCTCTCGCTCTTAACCCTAGTCCATTCCTTCTCTTTTATGCTTCTTCTCAATGAGTAACACAAATATCATCCACCCTTGTGTCAGAAATTCCAGCATCATTTTTTACTCCTCCTTTTATCTCAATTGATACTAAGTTCCATCAGCTATGGCCCTGTAATCAGTCCTCTGTCAGTTCGTTTCCACGCATTCTACAGCCACGGCTTGACTCAGATCCTTGCCCTCAGCAAGCCACTGGCTTTACTGAAACTTTCCCCTAGCGAATCTGAACCTGCCCTTATTAAGCAATTTGCACATAAACTCCCTTGTACTTTAATGTATATATAGACATGTCTTGGTTCTCAAATAGCCAGCGTTTCCAGGAGATGGGTCATCCTATTTATTATTTCTGGGACCTGATACAATGCTGAATACATACAAAGCACTCAGTCAAAAAGTTTCCAAATACGCTGCTGTACTGTCCCGATTTTATTTAATTCTGTGCCTCTTTAAAGATTAGTAGAGTCTGTAACAAGGACAAATTTGACTCACCTAAATTTAACTGTAACAGCTCAGCAAAATAAGTAGGTGCCAGAGAGAGGGGAAACGGGATCTCACTGGCCTCTGCAGCCCCTTGGCCATTCCCATCACAGCCCAGCCTTTCCCTCCCAGTGAACAGAAGGTTGGCTTGAACCAAAGTGCAACAGAAGGAACTTTTGGTTTTTGAGCTTCCATGAGTAAATCCTGGCAAGGTAGGGGATTTTAAATGTAATTTTGACTCTGCATAAATAAAATTTTAGAGCTAATTTTGAAACCTACTTCCCCATGTTTGATGCCACTCTAATAAACCACCAGTTATCAAAAAAACAGCTGAAATGGCACTTAATTTCAGAGGAACAGTACTAGAGAACAATTCTTTTTTAGTACTTGATGAATACTAGGTAACTAGAATCCAGATTCTGGCACCGACCAGCTGCTTGACTCTGGGCAAGTACTCACCTTATTTGAGTCAATTTCTTCATAAAGAAAATAGGATATAATATCCAGTTTCCACGTGGGGTGAGGATTAACTCAAAGGAGTGGTTGTTAAAGTAACATACCAATGTGAGATGTTTTTACCAACATCTTAAATTGCTGAGTTACACTCCAGATAGAAAGAAGACTGGTGAACAGCAGCCTCATGACTTATTTTCTCTAGTTCTCAGATATTGAGACTTCCTAGTTCTGTCACAGGACACTTATACCTAGTTAGAAGCATTTATGCATATTTTTGTCCTTCTTTTACTCACCTGTAGTAAACGTATCTTGTAAAGTTTCTCTTTCTCCATATTATACCGTCTGTCTAGGTCTTCCTAAAAATTGGAAAAGGCTGTAATTATCTGGGAATAGAAAACTTTCGATCTGTAATGGACTCTTTGAAAGTTGAATATGATTTTATCATATCTGCCCCATCCTAAGGCCTTAAATTTCTCTTCTCAAATGGCCAAGTTTAGTGTCTAGTTCCTATCTCATATGAGACCCTTGATACCCTTTCATATCATGTTATAAAACTCTTCCTTCTGGGACCCAGGCTGAATCCAATGTTCTTAAGTAAACTCCAAACGTATATGCCCTTCTTCTGCAAAAACCTATGATGATGTGGAGACAAATCATTACTTAAAGATTGTGTTGTTCTATGCCTGTGTTTGGAGATTATGCTAGTTTTCTATGTTTCTACTTAGAACTGTGTAATGCAATGTGATGGCCACTAACCACAGAAGACAGTGCAGATACAGAACATTTCCATCACTGCAGAAAATTCTTTTGGACAGAACTGATACAGAAAATAGAAAGAAACTCGTCCCTCATCGAACCCAGCAAGGTAAGAGACATAGCTGGATGGTTTGTCACTTCAGAGAAAGTTACAAAAGGAGTCAAAGGAGCCCTCCTTCCTCAGCACGGGGAATATAAACACACCCACACACCCACACACACACACCCTCCAAGGGGCTCAGCGTGGAGAATATAAACATCCCCATACCCACACACACCCACCCACGGGGCTCAGCTGCAGGTAATCTCCAATAGACTTCACTAGAAGACTGCTGAAGCTCATTTTCCAGGGAGACTATGAGAGTACAAAGGAAAGAGGAACCCTTTAAGAAGGCTTACAGTTTTCCTGCTTTTCCTTTCCTCCACTTCCTTTCCCATCTCCTTCTCCTGGAGGTTTCTGGAATGCTGGGAGCACTGGTTTAACTCAGACGAGGGTGACAAACTACAGCCTCTGAGCTAAATCCTACAACCTTTGGGCCAAATATGCCTTGCGGTCCATTTTGTAAATAAAGTTTTATTGGAACATAGCCATGTCCATTCATTTACCAATAAACTATGGTCACTACAGCAGAGCTGGCTCACAAAGGTGAAGAGTTACTATGTGGACCTATACAGAAAGTTTGCTGAGCCTGGTATAGAGTACAACAGAGAGAAGGTTTTCCCCTATGTACCACCCCACCCCTCAGAGCCTGAATGGTGACAGCATATGTGGCCAATGCAGGCCTCTCCACTTCCCAACTGAGATGCCAGCATGAAAACAAGATGCTTGTACATGGGACTGGGAGAAAACCCACCAGAAGGGTGACCTTCAGGGCTGTTCCTGGTGAGACCCTGCCTCTGTCTGAGGGGCCGGCTGTATCAAATGGGAAAATGCCCTGGAAAGCACAGATGTGGAGCCAGCCATAGAGCACATTAAAATGGGCATGAGAAGCCATCACAGGAGACTGCAAAGCTGGCCGCCTGCCCTCAGGAGACAACGCCAACCCTGAGCAGCAGGTACTTACATCGTGAGTCATTGCTGAAGTCAGGGTACCAGGTGGCTCTCCACTGGAGAGGGTCTGAAACAATAAAAACATAATAAACAATTCTCCTGAGCATTTAGGAATGGGACAGAAGCCAAAGATCTAGATGTAGGTGGGGGCCAGGCAGGGGCAAAAGGGTGCAGCTGAGAAATGCACTGATGTCCCTTGAGCATTTCTGAAGAGAGGAGAAAGGGAATTGCCCTTAGACAAGCCCCAGTTGTTCTTAGGTATCTGTCAGTTACACATACAGTAAACTGTAGCTCTTTTTCAATGTGAGAATCTCACTAACAAGATGTGCTGGGAAGAAAAATAAGATCCTGAGAGTCTAATTTGTGCAAACTCAGAGGCTAACCAAGCTGATGATTTGCGCTTTAAAGGCTCAAAGTTTTAGAAACAACTGGAGAGTTTGGCTCTGTGACAATGACCCTGGGATACCACTGCCTCCTAGGCTCTCCTGTTCACCCATGCCAGTCCCCTCACAGATGTGAAGAGTTGTATGGCTTAGGTGAAATAATGCAACCACTCAGGAAGTGAGAAGGGCCCTGCAAGGCCTTCATCTCCCCGCTGGGCATGGCAGTGTCCTGTACAGCCATGGGCACAGTCCAGTGCAGAGTGCTGGGCTGAGCAGCAGGGCATGTGGTCTGGTGCTGGGTGGCTGGATACTCTTGCCCTCCCTAAGCCTCAAGTTCCCTGTTTCTTACAATTTAAGGTTTAATGAAAATTCATGCTAGCAACTTCAAAGATTAAGTCCTTTGTTCAGAGAACCAGCTGGCCAGGTGTGTTCCCTAAACCCAGACTGCTCCTGCAAGCCTGGAGCTCTTCCGTTGAACCTAATACTGCTCTCTCCTTCTTCATGTTGTTGCTGCCTTTTGGGAGTGGGGCATTATCCTAGGTAGCAAAGGAGAAAGGTGAAATGAGGCAGAAAATTTACGGAATGGAAGAGCAGGAAACAGAGCTCAGACTTTTCCTGAAAACATCTCCCTAAACAGAGGGAGGCCAGAGTTGTGTAATCTGTCAATTCACATCTGGATTGCTGCCTTCCAAACCCTCTGCTGCCTTTCACTCCCAGAGGAAAGAGTAAAGAGATAGATGCAAATCTAAGGTCACAGAAGGAAAACAGCTGAGAAATGTGTTTTTACAGGATAAGTTAGCACCAGACTGTCTGCTCTTTGGTTCTCTAGAACTATCTTTTCCCCATGTAAGGCATAAAGAGCACCTGACAGTCCTAAGGACTAATTCAGAGCCTTTACCTTTTCATCTCCACATGGTGCTCTCTCGGCTTTCAGGTTTTCAATTTCTTGCTGTAGCCGTGTCATCTCCTCCTTTAAAAGTGACATGAACGTTTACAAAATCTGGACAAGCTAGTAATCAGATGCAATTATTCAACTATTTGGTCTACAAGTCTTATTTTCACATTTCATGAATTTATTCTGGGACAAAAAGCTAATGAGGTAGCTGCCCTGATCCCCAATTCTCAGCCTGGGAAAGTTCTTTTCAGGAGGCTACAGGCAGCTGGCTATACCTCCATCAAAAGAGGCCCTTCTTTCTGAAGGGCCGGTGAGGTAAGCAGTAATCACTGGGCAATGAAAGGAACAAGTGGTCTGCAGCCTAGTTCCAACTGGTCTTGTCTGCTTCCTCTCCCCAGCAGGCCTCAACCTTATTCACCTGTCTGTCTTCCAGCCTGGAACTCTGCCTCAGCAAGTCCCTCTTCCACTTGCCATCCTCCCAGGTTAAGTAACATCTACCTTTTTGATGGCTCCTGTGCTGAAGTGCCTTTTCCTCCCCTGGAGCTCACACAGAACTTGCCCGGCGTCATTGCCTGTCTCACACTAGTCACCTGAGCACACATCAACCCCACGACTAGACTACAAGTTTCCAGATGGTGGCAGCCAGGACTTATACATAGAATATAGACATCCCAGGTTTTCAGGACAGCCTTGGTTTTGTATGATGTTACTCTTTTCACAAAGGCCATCTGTCAATAAAATATATTTTTTCAAAAACTTTATAAGACTTTTCTTTCAAATACCTTTGTAAGTTAGGTGACATTGTTTGTTTTGGGGTTTGGCACAGTTATTAATGTGTCTTACTTCTGGTGTCTTTGGAGGGTCCCAACCATGGTGCTCTTGTCAGTTTATATAACTGACAAATAACTGCTAGGTTAATCTGCTTTTTAAACTGCACTGGACAGGACATCACAACAGGACAATGGAGGTAAACCAAGAGATTCGGTTAAGAGTCCTGGTTTATTTGCTGACACCAAACAACACTTACCCGACAATGTGCTTTAAATTCCTGTTCTTGACTTTTCAGATTTTCATTCATAGCCACAAGTGCTCTCAGGTTCTGTAGGATACTGAAGAGAAAAGAAAAAAAAATAAATAAATGACATAGGCAAACCATTATGATTTTATGAATCACAGCTAAAAGCAGGTTCCCAGCTAAAGAAGGACTCCCTTTTTAATTTCCTTTCTCAGCTCTAAGAGTGTCTCATGGATTCTCCACAAATGACACTGACTTCCATTTAACTGACATTATTATTCATTTATACACCCAAGACCATCATGCTGGATCCAGGCAAACATTATAGATTCCAGAATTAAAATGTCAACTATAGAATCATCAGAGTTTCAATAGTTCTGGATATAATGATACCAATTATTCAACTGTATTCGAGGAATATACGTTATTGAAAACCATTTTTAAAATTAATTCTGAAAAGGAAACAGGTTGTTTAGGGTCACTCAAAGCACTAATTTGACAATAAAAGTATCAAATATCTGACAGTGCTTTGCTCCATTTCATGAAAGAAAGGTTTCTAATTCTAGAGTCAAGTTACCTATGGGTGCTTTTGCTAAAAATGTTCATCAAACCAGAACTCCTTATTCTGTGTCTCCAGCTTTTTATGATTTCAGTCTCATTCAAATAAGACGCTCCTGGGAGACTTTACCACTGAAACAGTCTGAAGCTAAAAAGGTCAAATGTTAAAGTGCTTTGTCTCCTCTAATGCTCTAATGACAATTCATTCTACATGGAAGAACAAATACCCACAGCAGCTGTGTCTTGAGAGAAAAGACTGCACCTTTTCTACCAAGGAGGCACGTGCTGTTTAAAAACTTGTAACAGCCAGGCGTGGTGGCTCAAGCCTGTAATCCCAGCATTTTGGGAGGCCGAGGCGGGTGAGTCATGAGGTCAAGAGATCGAGACCATCCTGGTCAACATGGTGAAACCCCGTCTCTACTAAAAATACAAAACATTAGCTGGGCATGGTGGCGCACGCCTGTAGTCCCAGCCACTCAGGAGGTTGAGGCAGGAGAATTGCCTGAACCCAGGAAGCGGAGGTTGCGGTGAGCTGAGATCACGCCATTGCACTCCAGCCTGGGTAACAAGAGTGAAACTCTGTCTTGAAAAAAAAAAAAAAAACTTGTAACAACAGTGAACTCTAGGAAAGAGAATTGGGTGGCTGGGGACAGGAGTGGGAGAAACATTTTTTACCATACACCCTCTTCTGTACTATGAACGTACGACCATTTTGAATAATAGAAAAACAAAAAACTATGCTGCTTCTGCACACAAGGGGTATGGAAAGAAAGGTGGCTAACCCAGGGTAGCCCAAGCGTGTATCAGAGTAAGAGTCTCACCACTTTCTGGATGAGCAGTAAAATGATCTGACCTGCAGGGGCCAGACCAATAGCCTTTGGCTGCTTTGTTCCGTGTTTAAACAAATTAAGCCAGTTAAGTATGAGCAAAGTTACTTTCAAAAAAGCAAAAACAAGTGCATGCTGAAACCTCTTACCTTGGATCAGCTTTGGATTCTATCTTCTCGAGGGCTGCTTGCTCTTTGTCCAGTTTCTCACTATAAGTCTTCAGCTGCAAGAGAATGGAGACATGGCTGCTGGAGCCCTGGTAGCACAGGCGAACAATTTCACCTTCTTTTTGTGAGGCAGAGAATGACATTTTTTAAAGAAGAAACTTAAAACTCGGACTTTAATGCATAAAGTAGGTAATTACATCATTCAACAGAATACTAAGTCGATATTTAAAAAAAGAATAAAGTAGCTGTTTTACAATGATCTCTAATATCTACTGTTCAGTGAAGAAAACACCTACTATTTCTCCAAACCTACATCCTTTGTAGTCTTTGAATTTTGTACCATGTGAATGTGTTACTTATTTAAAAATTTTAAGTTTTTAAAAAGTTCCAAGAGTTCTAGTGGAAAATAGTAGACTAAGCACAACTTGCAGCCACCCCTTCTTGCCCTAAGACTCCCAAACATCCAGACTATTACATTAGAACACAAGAGTTTAACCTCACAGGCCAAAAAAGATGGTCAGCAGATAGGAATGGCCTGAGGAAGAAGCTATGTGGAGTTTGCAGACATAGGAAGGACTGGTGTGCAGTGTTGCGGATCTGCTTTAGAAACAGTCACATGGGCTTGGCAATGAAAGACTCTCTTAAACGAGCTGGTGGTTAAGTCTGAGAGGCAGGGCGGGGTCCCAGGAGAAATGGGAAGTTCCCTGACCCAGAATATCAGTTACTACTGGCTGATCCCAGCAAACAGTAGGCAGATCCCTTCCAGAATAAACACAGGAAGTGGCCCGCATAAAATAGATGGATCTACATAGGTGGTAATTCTAAATTTTAAAATTAAAGATGAGCATATAACCAAGGATCATCAACAGACATACCTTAACCTTAAAAAAGATGTATCAATTCAACAAGTTCTAATCTGAAGTAATAGTTACAGAGCAAGCAAAACTAAATACAATTAATGTCCTTAGACATAAAATATCGCATAAAAAGAATCAGCCTCACACAAAGGAAATTAGAGCAGTGGCTGCTGAAGTTACAAAGCAGAGGGACCAGCCAGTCTCCTGGCCTTCCTAAAGCAGTCACGCAGCCTCCTCCACAGGTGTCAGGCACCACTGCTGTCTGTGTGCGGCCTTCCACACCCTGCTCTACTTTTTCCAGATTTACTGGAAAGACGCAAGTCCTCCGTGTTTTTCAGTGCCGCTAGATTATCCTGGAAAGGCAAGTTTTGCTGAAGAGGTAAAAGCCGGGAACCCTGGAGTGAAAGGGTTCAGAGTGCTCTTTCTGCTCACTATTCACCTTGATAGGTAAGAAGAACCAGGCCCAGAGGTGAAAGACATTACTTACTCACAGGCTGATGAAATTAAGCTTCTTCAGAAGTTGTTCAGTACTAGGTTTTATATAGCTTCCCATTTTTCTAGATGGGAATGAGTTTCATTGTCCTATTAGACAGTAAGCTCCCAGAGAGAGCTCTGGTGCCAGGCTGACTGTTTTTGAATCCTGACACCCTATTGCATGGCCTTCGGCAAGTTATTTAGCCTCTCTGCCTTAGCTTGCCATCTGCAAAAAGGAATGATGACTGCAGGGATGATATGCTGGCTGCTGTTTTCATTTGAGGATAGTCTTATTACTGACTTAAATCACATCCTCCACTTTTCTATAACATAGAAAGGGCTCAACAAATACTTGATTTAGTATTTAATATAAAAAGCCCCTTTATAGTCACTGATAGTTTATATCCTAAGGCATATAAATATCTTAGAAAACTGATATCAAGATATTTTGCCTTTAATCTCCTCCAGACTGTTATGTAAAAACAGATCCACGTATTGGCAAACTTCATGCCAGGGGCTCTGCAGCATTAAAAGTAATATAGCAACAGGGCTCCCATCGCACAGAACTTGCCATCTAATCCATAAGGAAAGCAGTCACAGAGCAGTGTAAAGGACGCTGATCTGTCCAAAGGCAAGGCAGGCATCTTTAGGAACAATGAGAAAAAATTAAATTGCCATTCATGTGCCTGCCCTTTTGAAATGTGCTGACAATAACTGAAGAGGTTAGTCCAGATCAGAATTGAAAAGCTTTGTCAGGTTTACATCAAGGTGGCAAATTAACTGCTATATATTGCTACAGAAATAAGAATTTTAAATTGGTAAATGCCATGTGAATTCTAGAAAGTAGGGAGACTTGGGTGGTTTAAGAGACGTCTTTGAAGATCCTAGTTTCCAAATGGTCCGGAAAGTAGGGATTGTGCAGTGAGATCCTTCCACAGTACAGCTATAATCCAAGCACCAAAATCACAAGGAAGAGTGCTTTTCAGGCCTGAGTGAGGATAGCTCTCTGTAGAAACCAAGGGACAGAAATATCTACACGCTGCTCATGATAGAGGTGGCAGCAGAGGTGTCTGTTCAGCAATCTGAAAGAGACTGCTTTCAGATTGGGAAGGGAGCAGCGACAAAGCTGCCGTGAGGTAGCACACTTGCAACCTGGACTACAGACTGAATCGCAGGGTCCAAATATACTCCTAGCCCTCCTCCTCCTCCTCCTCCAGCCCCTTCCCCATTCTGCCTAGGAGATAACTGGAAATTCTGAACAACAATTATATTCTCTCATATCTTAAAAGAAATCTCTCTCTCAAGGAATTCAGGATCTTAGAGCTATTATATAAGCTGCTATTATATTTGAGGAGCAGGGGCTATTTACTATGTGTGACACTGTGAGTTCTTCTCTGTGTCCCACCCAGCCTATCAGACTTGCCTTCCCAGGAAGCCTTTCCTGATCCTCACAGCCCAGAGACCTTTTCCACCAACACCGCTAAAGGTCTAGAATGTGGCAGTGTGGACAAACTGATGACATGGGTCGCACACTACTAAGTAACTGTCCTGTGTCCTCAAAATGACTGCAGTTTCTGAGAACAGGATCGTGTGTCCCCCACAGACAGATGAAACAAGTCATTCAATTGGTGGTGCAGGCCAAAAATGATTCTTGACCGAAGAAGGAGAATCTATCTGCTCACCTCTGTCAGTGTTTTCTTGGCTTCATTGTATCTGGCTTGTAGGCTGGTGTGACTTGCTCGCAGCTGTAAATAAAAGATAAAAGACATATGCTCTCATTTGATCCTTATGACAACACAGGTATGCATTTCACAGATAAGAAAATGAAAGCTCAGAAAGATTTAAACTGAGCAAATGTGGAAATTGTAGAAGGGTTGCCAACAACAAATGAAGAAATAAACCCTGATATGTAATTAGCACCAAGTACATGTCAGCCAATGTACCAGGCATTTTGCATAAATAGTATTACTGAATCCTTTTATTCAGTGAAAAAAGACACTTTTATTATTTTACAGGTGAGGAAATAAAGAGTCAAGACAGGTTAAGTTACTTGACTAACGTTCCATAGCTGATTAACTGATGAGGCCCAGATCCAAATTCAAGTCCCTCTGACTTTTCAGTGGGGCTCAATGTAGTTACCAACTTGCCTGTTTGCAGAATACAAACAGCATTTCAGCACTTGAGATTCTAGCATAGAACAGGACTGGTTGGCAAATGATGCCACATAAAGGATAGGATTCAGGACCTCAACACTAAGAGAATGAAAATAAATTACCTTTACTGTTCCAAGTTATAGAACTATAAACTCACATCTTGAAAAAGTCAATTTCCTTTCCCTTGCTAAAATAGTATATCCTTGTGTGTCTATCAACTTCTAGAAATTTGAAAACATCCCTTTAAAAGCTCAAAAGGATTGTGTACTTCATTTCTGAAAAGGATAAGAGGCAGAAAACCACCTTCAAACTAGTTATTACCTGAGTTCAAGTTAACAATGAGAAATTTTAATCTATATCTCAACGGTTATTTCAAAGTAACATGCCCCATCCTTGGGCCTGTAAGCAGCTTACTAAGAGTTATGTCACCTTTAGAAATTATTACTCCCATCTAGTTATCAGTCTTTATGACTGATAAATAGTTATAATTCCAACAAGGCCTATCAAGAAGCCAACTCAAGCTGAGAGCAAAGTGATAAAGGAGAGAGAAGTAGGTAGATTCTGGTGTCTCCCTTTTCAAAGGGAGGCACTTGTGCAATGACAATTTCTATTAACCTGTTTGTGTAACTGGTAGTATAAGGGTACTTCAGGAGAAAGTTTAGTTTTCTCTTGAAATCCCAGTGACATAACTGTTGACACTTGCTATTTTCGGAATGTTAGTGTCTGCCCCAAATTCATATCTTAGAACCTCATACCCAATATGACAGTTTCAAGAGGGAAGGGATTAAGTCATAAGGGCTCTAGCCTTCTGAATGAGATGAGTGGCCTTATAAAGAGGCTTAGCCTGGGCAACAAAATGAGACTCTGTCTCTACAAAGACATATAAAAAAAAAATTAGCCAGGCCTGGTGGTGTTCCTGTGGTCCTGACTATGTGGGAGGCTGAGGCAGAAGGATTGCTTCACCCTGGGAGGTTGAGGCTGCAGTGAGTTATGATCATGCCATTGCACTCTAGCCTGGATGATGGAGTGAGACCCTGTCTCAAAAAAAAAAAAAAAAAAAAAAAAAGAAAGAAAAGAAGAGAGGCCTGAGTGAGCTCCCTTGCCTCCTTCTACCATGTGAGGAAGCAGCAACAAGGCGCCATCTGTGGAGCAGAGTGAGCCCTCCTTGGACACCAGATATGCTGGTGCCTTGGTCTTGGGACTTCCAACTTTCAGAAATGTAAGCAACAAATTTCTGTAGTTTATAAATTACCATGTCTAAGCTATTTTGTTAGAACAGCCCAAATGGACTAAGACAAGGCTCTAGGAAAGGTTCCTGGGATCTTCCCACCTGCTTCACCCACCTTCTTGCGTAGCCTCTCACCCCTGCACCCACCTCTCATCTGACATTTACCCCACGCTCTGTTCAAATGAGGTGTATGGGATATAGAACATGACATTGTAACTGTAGGATTAAAATATGAGACAAGATAGGGTAGGGGCAGGCCCAAGGAAAGAGAATCAGCTCCCTCACCAGGGGGTGCAGGAAGCCTTCACCAACAAAGACCTACCCCAGATGGATCTTGGCAGGGAAGTAGGAGCTTGCTAAGAAGGGAAGGCTCATCTCTTTCTTTCATTAATTTAACTAACAAGAACTATCTTTAATTCTTCATCTGACCATCTTTTCTTACGTAGGAAGTATCCCAGTAGCTTAGCTTAGTTTTTATCTTGCTGGAGTCCTCCAGGATTCTCTTACCTCTATTTTCTTCATCATAATTAACCCCTACATTTACCCTGAAAATTCAGCTGCTGGTTAACACCACCTCTCTGGATCTTTCATCACTCTCGGGTTTCTTCTCAGCTACCTACCAGCTGCACTCCATTTCTATTCCTTTGTAGCATATTCCCTTATTGGACCATGACATGGTTTGGCTGAATCCCTACCCAAATCTCATCTTGAATTGTAGTTCCCATAATTCCCACATGTTGCGGGAGGGACTGGGTGGAGATAATTGGATGATGGGGTGGTTTACCCCATGGTGTTCTCATGATAGTGAGTTCTCGTGAGACCTGATGGTTTAATAAGTATCTGGCATTTCCCCTGCCTGTACTTCTTCTTCCTACCATCATCTGAAGAAGGGCATGTTTGTTTCCCCGTCTGCCATGATTCTAAGTTTCCTGAGGCCTCCCCAGCCATGCAGAACTCTAAGTCAATTAAACCTCTTTCCTTTATAAATTACCCAGTCTCAGGTATGTCTTTATTAGCAGGGTGAGAATGGACTAATATTTCCTTATTTGTAAAGTGAGGATAATACGAGTACCTCCCCTTCATAAAGAGATGTTGTGCAAACTGGGTTAATTTTGCAAAGCACTTAGTAATTACGAAGTAATAACAAAGCACGTATTAGCCATTACTATTACTGACAGAGAGATGTCTGTGATAGAATACATGAAATAAAAATTCAGTTTTGTAACCATACAACTCACCCTTCCCAGGTGAGGGCATACGTGCTTGCAAAAGCCTAAAAAAGGATGCATCTCAGATGCTCTATGCCTGTATGACCTTGTAAAAGAGGTTGTGGAAGTGTTTGGAATCCCTCTCATACTACAAGTAGACATACAAATTGATAAAATAACTGATGAACAACTCGACAGTTTTTTAGCAAAATAAAAAATGAAAATAATTTTTTTTGATTTAGCAATTCCACTTCCTAAAGTCTATTTTATAGAAACACTTCTATACAGTTGCACAAAGGTGGTCATGGTAGCAAAAATTTGCAATTGGGAAAAAACAACCCTCGAAAAACCTACATACTCATACATAGGGGACAAGTTAAATAAATTATGTTACATATATACTAGGTCACACTATCCAGTCACTAAAAAGAATGAGGTAGATTTACATGCTTAAATTTTGGTTCAACCACTAACAAGTTGTTTGACTATAGACAGCCTGCTTAATTTGTGTTTCAGTGTCCTTATTTGTAAAGTGAGAAAAATAACAGTACCCCCCCTTCATAAGGATGCTGTGCAAACTGAATGAGTTAATTTTATAAAGCATATAGTAATTACTAAGCAATAACAAAGTACTTATTAGCCATTATTATTACTGACAGAGAGACGTCTGTGATAGAATAAATGATATAAAAACTCAATTTTGTAACCATACAGCTCACTCTCCCCAGATGAAGGGGCATATGTGTTTGCAAAGGCTAAAAAAAGGTTTACCAGGAAACACAGCAGACACAAATAGTAGCTTGCTCTGTTTATTCTTATCTTTATATAGTTCTATATTATTTATAATGAGCTTATCCCTACAATAAAAAACAAACAAACAAAAAAAAAAAAAACGCTTAAAACATTTGAAAATTGACAGAATGCCAGTGTGTGGTGGCTCATGCCTGTAATCCCAGAACTTTGGGAGGCTGAAGTGGGTGGGTCACAAGGTCAGGAGTTCAAGACCAGCCTGCCCAGTATGGTGAAACTCCCATCTCTACTAAAAATACAAAAACTAGCCAGGCGTGGTGGCGGGCGCCTGTAGTCCCAGCTACTCAGGAGGCTGAGGCAGGAGAATTGCTTGAACCTGGGAGGTGGAGGCTGCAGTGAGCCGAGATTGCACCACTGCACTCCAGCCTGGGTGAGCAACACTCCATCTCAAAAAGTTAAAAAAAAAAAACCCAAGAAACTGACATAAGTAATGTGTTTAGTATATCTGTGCGCACGCATACGCGCACACACGCGCGCGCACACACACACATACACAAACATGAAACACAGACTCTGAGCAAGTCTCTTCCCTCCCTACCTTATTTGTCTTATCCAGTTGGCCTACCTACATGGCCAGGGATTATTGCATGTGCTGATCATTATCTTTAATTACATTAAATATAGCAAAAATGATTGTTGTCTTTTATTGAGAGCCTGCTATGTTAGGCAGTATGCTTGAAAAATAACAGCCTCTGGGTAAACGTGTTCTGAACCAACTGCAAAACAGACTCAAGCGTCAGGGAGGATTGTCCTGTCAGCTGGACCAAGAATGTGCCAAGACTGCTATTTGTGTTGAGGCCTACCATTTCTTCTCCCCAGGTATATACAGGAGGTAGAAGCAAATATCCATTCCTGTTGGGATACTCTGGCTCCTGGAGTCTATAATAACCTCAAAACTATCTTCCTTCAGAAATAAAGACAACATAATAAGGAAGCCTCATCCTTGACTCCTGCTCCTTCTGATTCTGTGATGAGTTCTTTTTGAACCATTTTTATATCACCAGCAGGGGTCAGAAGTAGAGCTGATACTGTCTGAGTTGAGAACTCACTAAAATGTCTAAACAAATAACTGAACAGAAACCAAGTCGCAGGCTATCTTTCATCCTTCTTTGATCCAGTGCATTTAGCAAAGCCAACGTATTGTTTGTTCAGCTATGGTAGAACAAATTCTAATAGAAAAAATTCCAACAAAGAAATGATTGAGCAAGACCGTTTGATATGTTAATATCTTTTAAATATGTGAGACTTAAAGGAATAAAAAATAACAAGCTCAAAATGCGAAATGCCAACTGGTACCCATTTTTAGAAGACTAACGGTTACAGTAACTACTGGTGAATTGTTCTTTAGAAAGCCATATTCCTTCTCTCTTTTTTTTTTTTTTTTTTTTTTGGAGATGGAGTTTTGCTCTTCTTGCTCATGCTGGAGTGCAATGGTGGAGTTTGCTCTTGTTGCCCAGGCTGGAGTACAATGGCATGATCTTGGCTCACCACAACTTCCACCTCCTGGGTTCAAGCGATCCTCCTACCTCAGCTGGTGGAGTAGCTGGCATTACAGCCATGTGCCACCACACCTGGCTAATTTTGTATTTTTAGTAGTGATGGGATTTCACCATGTTGGTCAGGCTGGTCTCAAACTCCCAACCACAGGTGATCTGCTTACCTCGGCCTCCCAAAGTGTTGGGATTACAGGGTGAGCCACCGCCCCCAGCCCATATTCATAATCTCTTGCTACGTGTATGTTTCTAATCTAATCTATTGCTAATGCAACTGCAGCACATAACTTTTTATTGTCCAATGACTGTTCCCGAGTCAAACTTCCCAGCTTCCTCTTAGGTCTACTTTTTAGAACAAATATATGTAGGTCTTTCCAGAACAGTACCATCCATCACCAGGTATTATGGAACACTATTTCCTACAGCTCTGTAAAAGATCAAGTTTGCTCCATTTCACTGCCATCAATAGTAACTGTCCATCTGTCGACTATTGCATCAGCCTCCTACCAGTTCTCCCTGAATTCCTTCTCACTCAAGTCCAGTTAATTCATGCTCCTGTAGCAAACAGAACTGTCTTTACCATGTGCAGTTCTGATCATGTCACTCCCCTATTTAAACCCTTCAGTGGCTTTCATTGTCCTTAACATGGCCTGGGTGGTCCTGTTTGATCAGACACTGCCAACCGTCTCACTTATGACTCTCTGGCCACAAAACAGATTGGCCAAGACCATTCCATCCTCCTCTGGTCTTCGTTCACGTTGTTCTGTAAGTCCACAGAGCCCATACAGACTTCCTGCCCAGAAATGCCCACTCATCTTTCCAGTCTCAGAACTCTGTGACCTGAGGCTAGTGCAGGTCTCCCTATTAGTCACTCTCCCAGCTTCCACGACTTCTCCTTTAAGCATTTATCACACCTGTAATTAAATGATGATGAGTGTGATGTCTTCTCATTAGATCTTTAGATCCTTGACAGCAAGGATCATAACTTGTTCTTCACTCATCCTATTAACTTAGTTCAGTGCTTCGCACACAGTATTGCTTGGTAAATATCTGTGAACTAATGCTATTCTTATTCTGTGATCTTTTTCTATAACAGAAGTTAGCAAACTTTTTCTGCAAAGGGCCAGACAGTAAATATTTTAGGCTTTGTAGGTCTTATGGTCTTCTGCAACTACTAAACTCAGCCATTGTGGCCTGAAAGCAACCACAGAAAATATGTTAACAAATGGATGTACATATGCTGCAATAAAACTTTACTTACAAAAACAGGTGGCAGCTGGATTGCCCCGAGCACCAAAGTATGCCAACCCCTGTTCTGGAATCTCTTTTAACCAATCTACCATGAAGATCCTGAATAGACTTATGAAAAGAAAACACTGACCTCTTCAAGATGTTTGGTCTTCTGCACAATCTGTTTGTTTAAGGAAATGACTTTCAGACGATGTAGCTGGGAGGTTCCTAATTTTTCTGGACTTTCTTCAGCTGATAGCTCAGACTGCTGTGGAAAAAAGGGAGGGCAAATCCAAAGAATTTAATTAGTTCATCTTGGTTCACAGAATCAAGACCTGTTCAATCTGGGTAAAGCACTGTTGGGAAGCCTGTCACACTAAGCCACGGCATCCACAGGGGCCTGTTCAAAACTCTGGTGTAGAGAAGAGATTCTGACACAATAACCAAATCCTTATCAACAGAACCTGCATTCTGGGCAGGAAACAGCATGTGTAAAAAAGCACAGGGACATAACTGTGGTTATGTCAATATTATATAGGCAATAAGGTATCATCAAAAAGTCTTAAACAGGGGAATAACACTGCGATAGCAGTATCTTCATAAGACCATTCTGGAGTTATCAAGAATAATGAATTGATTCACTGTGATCAAAATATTATAAACATATGGTTAAAAAGTCTAGCCATTCAGCAGCATTCATAATGAAAAAAATCTCCCAACACATTTTCCATCAACTGGCCCACTCCCTTTTAGTCATTTCCTATTTCTGATGTTCTAGAGTTAACAGGGGATTGATTGGAAATGGATTAAAGGTGTTGAGAGAGGTCACATAGAAAAAGTTCTGCAACTGTCTAAGAGAGGAGGGAATGGAGAAGGATTCTCAGGACTAGAAGTGAGTGTGAGACAGATCTCTGAACAAGCTGATGAAGTGAATGTGACATTTTCCAAGAGGGCAAATGGCCATTACCGAAAAATCATGCAAAGTAGCAGGCAGCCTGGTGTACATACTGAATACCAACACCTGCCTCAAGACTCCTGCGAGAAACCCCAGGAAAGATCAATTAAAAGGTAGACCTTTTGCAGTAAGTGCAATTATAATACTTCTTGGATGGTTATAGATAGCTTTATTAAACAGTCAAACATCAACAATAAAACATCTCCTTTTTTCTAGTAAGTGCCCCAATTCCAAGCTAATCATTGATTCAAAACTCATGTGCAACAAAACTATTTGAATACTTGACTTTCCCTGCATGTTTTGACAGTGATCCTGGGCTTGAAAGTCTGAGATATTTAACCACAGGAAAAATGAATGGGAAGGTGAGAAGGAGGAGAAACTGGATGGCCATAACCACTTATTCTGGTTAAGCATTTCTCTGAATAATTCAGCAGTACTATTAACGGATGATGAGTTCTTCTGCTACTTAACAACTCTGGAGTTACAAAACAATCAGCAGGATACGGCTCCATAAAATGGTAAGAAACATCATATTCTATCTCATGGGCTGGTAGGCCATAAAGAAAATAGAAAAACTAAGCATTTAGTGTTACAACACATTTAACCTTAAAATCTGGGAATTTGTAAAATGCCAACATTATTTTAGCTTTCAGGATTTCTGGGAATTAGAATTAACTTTTTAAAATTAATTTTGGATATATCAAGATATTCACAACTTGGTAGTACGGAGAAGGCCAAACTATTTCTGAAAATTATTTGAGAATATTAAAAAAGGATGGGGGAAGAGGAAAGACCACTCCCACTCTAAATCACTTACCAGAAACAGAATTACAATTAACTACATCTCCTCTACTTTGACTGTATTGCCCTGAACTATGTTATTAATCTGGCCACTTTTGTACCTTATATATTTAATAGCTTTTTTCTTACAGTTAATTTTAGCTTTGGGTTTTAACATCCAGCTTAGATTCCTTGACTTTGACTTTCAACGTGTCATAAGGATATCCTCAGAGCATTCTGCTTTACTAGCAGAATTACATAAGCCTTCCATTTGTGCTTTACTGATATCTGAAACAGAACTAATTTCCCCATACCTGTCTCTATATTTGATGTCAGGATTATGCTTGAGTATCCTGACTTCCTCCAGAGGCCTGTCAGGCTTCGAGACTGAGATGTGGGCAGGCTCCAGTGGATTCATGCATCACTCACCTTCCAGATTTCCTCCAGTGTGTGGGGGCTGAGTAAACTCATTCAATTCTGTTCTGCAGCTGTGGCCTAGATTGGGTGATGTCTCTTGACTCTCAGCAAGTTTTCTTGCTCATAAACTGCTTTTATGGCCAAAGTCCTAAGAGAATAAAAACTGCACTCCCCACCTAGCTTCCATGCTCTCGTATTAGTGTATGTGGCACACATACAGCTTTGTTTTAAAACTACGACCTTCAAACTTCACTTACAAGAATTCTTCTTGCAGGGTAATCAGCAGCTATCTTGATATGTGGAAAGATTATTCCTGTGACAGGTATCTATCTAAGTCTGAATTTTTGAGCCACATGTTCCCTCAAAACCCTGTCAGAAGGTCTGAGAGGCCAAACATCTTTTCATACTACCACGAAGATGTTATTTGCCTTTTCCCTCTCATTCTCATGATTATACAGTGAAATCTTCCAGATGTTACATGACATGTGATATCACTGCTCTGATGTTAACATGTAACGTGCTCATTATTTGTAAATGAATACATAAGCAATTGTGTATTAATACATAAGCTATTATAAATGAATACGTAAGTTACTGTAAATTAATTAATATATAAGCTATTGAGTCCTCAGTTGTTTTTAAGAGTCTTTAACTGGGTCCTAAAACTATTAGAAAATGTTGAGAACTGCTACTTTAATCTAAAGAGCATGGCTCACCTGGTAATCCACTCATGAACTGGGACAGTCAATGGAGTGTGCTCACCAAGTGTCCAGCCATGATTTACATAACCCTGAGAGGGAAAAGTTCTTTCTGATTCTACTCCTTTACTAGACCTCTGATTCAGACAACCATATGAACAGACAGAAAATGCTCGCAATGCACAGAAAAAATCTTGAAGCCTCTATAGGTACCTCTATCACATCTGTTATAATAGTATATGTTCCAAGGAAACATGGGCTTTCAAAATACTTTCTCTTATTGGTAGGTAATAATTCTTAGTGCTATGTGGAGTCCTGTAAATGCACATTTACAGGCACACAGTACATATAAACTTGGAAGTTCCTCTGTTTGCCTTTGAGTCTAGAGACAGTGCTATGGAAGCTGCTTTGTTTAATGGGATGTTATTTCTTAGACAGATAAAACAGTTAATTACAGAGCTTAAATAAGAGTTCCTAACCTAGTAAACAGTAAGCTGATTGCTCTGTTTTTCAAACATACTTCATCAAGCAATCTAAATTTTTTGTTTCTCAAAGCCAAGAGAACTCAGGCTGAAGACAGGAACAGGTTCATAGAACAGCAGGTCTCATCCAATAGTTCATTCACTGAGAGATACAATGAAAAAGAAAACTAGATGACCAAGGTGGATTATGAATGATGAGACAAAGTCAGACAGAAGAAGAGGAAAAGAGGCTTTATACTAAATCCTTGACAGAAAAAATTTAAATCCTAGCGCATCCTAACAGATTTCTACTTCCAAAATGCAACATCTGTCAAAGAACATCAACCATCTACAAATAATCCATTTGTGTTTACATTGGAGTGAGGGCTAAAGTGCCAATCTGATTTATTCAACATTTTCAGATTAAGAACGTGCTTTCAAAGCCACATTGTGGATTAAGATGACTTCTAGTGTAAATTCATTGTTTTCTAATAACTGACAGATATTCACAACTTCTATTTTTAGAGGAAACAGATTTAAATGTCACTGAATAATATTAGTCTAGTTCAAAATGGTAAATTCTCAAGAGAAGCAAAAAATGATTATTTTGGCTAAAACTATATACTTTTATAATTGAAAGAGACCCAAAAGGTTATTTACACATCAGCCATCTTTCTAATACAGGGTTCTCTCCTATACCATACCCCACCAAAATATGATCAGTAAGCTGACAATAATAAAGAATTCCTATCTCATATGGTACGAGGAGTTCTCTACACTAAATAGATGGACTTCAGTTTTTGGTACCTTGACTGACCCTTCAATGAAAGACAAGTAGGCTGGGTGCAATGGCTCACGCCTGTAATCCCAGCACTTTAAGAGGCCAAAGTGGGTGGCTCACTTGAGGTCAGGAGTTTGAGACCAGCCTAACCAATATGGTGAAGCCCCATCTCTACTAAAAATACAAAATTAGCCAGGCATAGTGGCATGCACCTGTAATCCCAGCTACTTGGGAGGCTGAGGCACGAGAATCACTTGAACCCAGGAGGTAGAGGTCACAGTGAGCCAAGATCATGCCACTACATTCCAGCCTGGGCAACAGAGTGAGACTCTGTCTCAAATAAATAAATGAACAGACTATGTGAAATATTTATTTTAAAAATGTTTTTCAATCTAAGAACTATCAAGAATGTTAAATTCCAGAAAATTCCAGAAGGCCAAAAGATAAGTGAAAGTGAAAATCCAGGAATGTATGTGTACCCACTGAAGCTGGCTTTTTTTTCCTGAGGGTATCTGCCAAAACCTGATGGTCACAAACCTTGATTTTTACAATTCAGTAACAACCGCCCCACACAAATCCTAATACAGCTGTAAGAGGGGAAAAAATCCACAATGAGACTTTATAACAAGAGATTGGCCCTCATGCAGTTCTGCAATCCTAATTCACACACCACTTTGGTACCAAAAAACCATGAGTAAGAACTAGGCTTAAAATGGACTTGGGCTGAAGTATTCCCAGGTGTTTGGCAGAAGCAAAAGCAGATCTTCCCTGAAAGAACTGAGTTTCAATCCTAGGCCTCAAATAGTTCCTACAGATAAATTTCCAAGGAATACGGGCTCACAGTCAAAAATCAAAAGTACGCAAGAAGTCAAACTACCATAAACAAAAGCCAGGGAAAACAGACACCAGAACTGTATCTGTAAAGACTTATTCAAATATATACCCTCTTCCAATGCACACACACCATATACACACAAACATATTTCCCCCCCCTAAAGCAACAGAGTAATCACTCTTTCAGATAACAGTTCAACTAAGTGTCCACAGTCCTTCCACTTGTCCTTTCTATCACAAGATGTTGACACCTCTCACCACCTTGGCTGTTATCCTTTGGATATATGCTAGTTTATAAGTAAACTTCTGAAGCACTCCTGATGATGTGTGATCACTGCGGAT